TCGGGGGTAGCAGTTGGCCATAAATGTTAGTAAGGGAGCGGCAATCCTTAGTCCAGTGTCTGCCTTTTCCGCACCGTTTGCACGACGTCTTCGGAAGCTCCATCTTTGTAATTAATTGTGGACAGTTCTTTTTTATATGTCCTGTCTCACCACAGTGAAAACAGGTTTGTGGTCCAGCCAAAGCTTCAGCTAGTAGTCTTGCTTTATGAGAATGAGACCCCACATTACCACATTCCTTGACCATGTCCATAGGAGTAGGATCCCTAAGAGTTCTTAGTATTTGCTGGCAATCGTCATTAGATTGCTCTATAGCCAACCTATTAACAATAGTGCATCCTGAGCTTCTGGGTGTTTAACTTGTTTTGCAATAGCTTTCTTTAGCCTTTCTGCAAAGTCTGTGAATGGTTCTGTTGGGTTTTGTTGTACTTGTGTGTATGAAGGTGTAGGTTCAGCAGCCTCAGCAATGGTTTGAATAGCTTGGAAGGCTAGATTTTTTGAAATGTCTAATTCATTCATAGGAATCTTGGTTTGGGCCTCATTGGAAATATATGGGCCCACTCTGAAAAGCCTATTAAAGGACTCCAGGACTGGGGTCCCTGTGGTTGTTGAGGTTCGCTGGCGAATGCGAGTTTGCCATTCATCCAGGAAAAGTGTTGCTTGCATATTAGTGAAGAAAGCACTTATTAAATCCTTTATGTCATTTGGAGTGAATGTGTAAGCAGCAAAGAGTGAACCAAGTACCCTTATTACATAAGGTGAATTTAACCCGTAGACAGTAATAGCTTGTTTTGTATCTTTCAGAACTGGGAGGGGGATTGGTTCCCAGACAGGGTGATTGTTGGGATGATAAAATACGGGAAATGCTTTAACCAAATTCAAATCATCAGCTGTTGATGCTTATTCCTTTATGTAAGACCATGTGCTCCTCTGGGCAGTGGCTGGGCAGGGACAAGTACATTCGCAGGGTGGTGGTACTGAAGAGGTTAAAGTGCCAGCTACTGGCACGGCGGGATAAGCGGCGCTGCCATGGGGAGGGGGGCACTGGAAAGGAGTACATGGATGCGGTGGGGGTGGGGGGAGGGGTTTTTTGGCCGGGGGGGGGGCGGAGGAGGGAGGGGGTGGGGACGTGGGGGTGGGGGGAGGGGTTTTTTGGCCGGGGGGGGCGGAGGAGGGAGGGGGTGGGGACGTGGTGCCGGCCGGGCTTGCGCGGGCGGGCTGGGGGGTGGTGCTGGCGGGAGAAGCGCGAAATGTTTGCGTGCCGTTTCTCCACGCCGCGTGCGCTCCCGCGCTCGCTCCCCGCTCTCCTCGGCTTCGCCCGCGCGGCCGCTTAGCTCGCTGATGCCATGATGCAAAAGCCGCTGGTATTCCGTGCTTTGTTTCTCCGTCCCGCCGTCCGTGGTCTCCTGCCCCCCCCCCCCCCCCCCCCCCCCCCCCCCGCCGCCGCCACTCCAGGACTCCCGGGGCTTGTCCTTTTTTGGGGATGGGGGCTTGGATTTTTGCTCAGATTCTTGGAGATTTTCATTGGAACTGGTTATTTGATGTTGTAGCATCATCAGAACTAACCTCCGGGCAATCCGTGCTTCAACAGCAATTTTGTCTCCCCTCTCTTTCACTTTCCAGATCTTATATCCAATTTTCTCCCAGTCCTTTAGAGACATGCTGTCGGACACAGCTTCCCCTCCGTTTTCAAGCCATTTAGCAAGGGCTTTTGTGGATTTTTTGTCTAAGGGGTGTCCGTTTTCCAAAATAAAGTCTTTAAGCTTGCAGTATACAAACTTTTGAGGGGTAGATAGCGAGAGGCCCATTGTGAAATTACTTAGGCTTCTGTTAGTCTGCAGTTGGTTTTAAAGTTGATTTTGTGAGGGTGGGAGATGGGATTAGAGGTTTTTCCCGGAGCTCACCTTTCTTGGTGCGGTGGCCATCTTGCCATGATTTGGAGTTCAGCTGGGAAGGACCAGCGGGACGGAAACACTTCTCTCTGCGCCGTCTGAGCCCTTGTGGCATGGGGGAGGTTTTCTTAAAGTAAAAACCTTTACTTTTGCCTGACGCTGGGTGCCATTTGTCGCGGTCCGAAGAGGGAATGGGACGCGAGGAAGGGTGCAAGCAAAGTTCTTTATTCAGGCGTGCACCCGATTCTTGTCCGTTCAGGCAGGGAAAGGGCCAGAACAAGCTGGGACAAGAAAATAAATTGGCAGGCATTTGTGCCTAGCAATAGATGTAAAAAGCAGTTAAAAAAGCCTTTTATCTCTGAAGGGAAAGAGAGGAGGCTTAAATTTCAACCAAATCAGGTTTGAAATGTGTATGTTTCTTGGGGATAACACACTAGCTTTAGTGTCCACAGGAGGAAAGCTGTCCCAAAAGCTTTATGTAGAAAGAGTATGTAGTACTGCAGTCCTCAGCTGACTGAAGCAGAAGCCAAGAAGGGTAGCTGTATTCTAAGCTGGTGCAGAGTCATATAAGTTGAACTGTAAGGCTTAAGCTTCTTTGATTGCAGGAGTGTGTATTGTTATTGTAAGATGCCTGAATGGGAAATTGACTACTTAATCTTTGTAGCTTGATTAGTGTTTCTTAGTACTGCTAATAAAACCAACTGACGCTATGAATAATGCTGCTGGTCAGACAAGGAGTGGAAAGCTCATTGAAAGCAAACAGACTTGAAGCTCAGCAAGGCTTGCATGGGCCCCACTCCATGTCTCCTGTAAATCATGGTGCAGGTAATCCTTTCTATACCTCCTACCAGGATTTACTGTCCACGCTGTGGTTAACCATGTCAAAACCCACTGACTCTTAAGTGGCTGATGGTAGAGTTCCTTTTGTCTAAAATATTCTCTTAATGTTTAGTGCCTAGTGGAAGGTGTTGCCATCCTTTATCCACATGCGATGTTAGGAGTCAGGGCTCAAAATAAGAGCTTCGCCTGTGCCTGTCTAATTCTAGGTTCCCAAGACATTGTTGTACTGTTTAAATGAAAATGGAAACAGTTACAATGGCAAAGGTAATTTGCCTTATGTGACACGGAATCACAGAATATGTTGAGTTGGAAGGGACCCATCAGGATCATTGAGTCCAGCGTATGAATGATAACTATGTCCTTCTTAGTGGGGTGCCTCCTGTGCTTCTTTGAATAACAACTGATTTAAAAATAAGACAAGGCAGTACAATTATTGCTTGCATTTTTTGTATTTTTAAGATGTGTTTTGCTATGTTCTGTCTTTTTGCTGCAGTGCTCCTGATAGTCACTTACAGCTGATTCTTGTCTTACTTTGTTCTGACAACCCAAGTTCAGTTTCCTGTTGAGGAATCTGATGATAAAATCATTGTGTTGCTCTGCTTTATCCAACATGCTAAAATGAGATTTAGTGAATTTCTGCTTACCTTAATCATATTTTTTCCCCAGATAGCTCTCTGTTTTGTGGCTGATCATTAAGGCTTACTGTACATGCTGAGGCCCCCTGGTGGTCTAGTGGTTAGGTTGCAGCACTCTCACTGCTGCAGCCCGGGTTCGATTCCCGGTCAGGGAAACTCCCCCGGGCAGATGGAGCTCGTCAGCCCTGTAAGACCATCCATCTAAGAGAAGGTCACTCTAAACAAACCTACGTCCTGAGGACCTCGCTGCCACCGTCCGAGCTTCACTCGGCCCCAGCAGATGAACCTCAGGATTAAAGGGTGGGCTCAGTTCAGCGCACACTGGGTCTCACCTAAAAAAAAAATAATCCACTGCGCAGGCTCAAAGGGTAAAGACCTTTCCCAAATCTTCGCTCGCGAAGACTGGCCATACTGTACATGCTGAGGGAATATGTAATTGCAGTTGCTTAGTGTAAATAACCAGTATGATGGATTTAGACACTGAGAACCTTTCCAGAACATCTCCTGGTTTAAGCAGATATATATTAAATCTGGTAAATAGCATGGATATGCAATTCCCCATCTTACCAGAGATGGAAGATATACCTTGTCATGGCTTGTTTTGAATGTGAGTGGCCACCTGAAATTGTCGAATTGGTCTTGCCCTTGTGACTTGTTATAAAGCCTGACCAAATGCACCTGCTGAAAAGAAAAAAGAATAGATCTTCACTGTTGTTATGTGATTGATACTTTACCAGCAAAGCTAAATTAAAGGATTTTTTAATCAGTGTTCCTTGCTGTTTTAATTTTGAAATTATTTGTTTATAGGCTAAAAAGTGGAGTAGTGCAATCAATATCCCACTTCTTCTTCCTGTTTCTATCCTTCTGGTGATTTTACTACAGTCTAGTAGTTTAAAAAATATGAAGCAGTTAAGCAAAACCTAATTATGAGTTATGTCCATATTTTCTTGTGGAACTTAGGACTGTAATAGTCAAAGGCTCTAATTGATTCTGATGGGGGATCATTCTGTGCAATTGTTCTCCATCTTCCTGTCTGTGTGTTGTTGGCTGCCAGGCGAACCAACAAATACGAGGCACTCAGGTGGAAGACAGCTTTTTATAATGCATTCTCAACAGGACAACGTTGTTTGCAATATTGTCCCCAGCTTTGTCTGCAAATACTGTAATAGACACCTAATGAAGTACTATTCAGGGAAACAGCAGGATTATTTCAATTCAGGGTGCTAGACTGCTCCCCCTTCTACTATCAAAAATATTTAAAAGTAAAGCAAATAAAACTAAATCTTCTTTACAAAGATTAGTTACAGAGCAGCTAATGATGCATAACTTAGATCTTAAGGGCAGTTTTACTTCCTAATCTCCATTGTCAGAGTTTGTTTGGGGTTTTTGTTCTTTTTGTACTGTGTAACTACTAACTTGCCAGCTTCCTAACAGTATTTTACAGAATTATTGTTCAAACATGTATGAGGGCAAAATATTTCCATCTGTACTGCTGAAATTTTTGTTAAAGGCACTGCGAACTGCCTCTTATTTTTTTTTTTTTAAAAAAAGCTAATTAAATGCATGAATGCCACTGCACATAGCTGACAAAAGCAGAGCATCTTTGTGAATAGACTCTGTAAATTCTTTCCCACAGAAGTCAACGAAAGGGTCGGTTGTCCTGGGCTACGTATTTCGTCACTTAAACCTGGTGGAAATAGATTACTTTGGACTGCGCTACTGTGACCGAAGTCATCAAACGGTGAGTAAAACACACAGCAGATTGGATTTTCCACATATAAAATTTACCCTGTTGTGCTATAAATGCTGTAAAGCTTTGAATTGTCATACTTTCACTAACTTTCACTATTTCTGTTCTCTGGCATCCGGTAATAATTTCTCTGTTTGTTTGCAATGGAGTCTTGGAATAGCCACTAGTATCTTAGATAGGAACACAGTCAAATACTGAATGGTGTTGAAAACTAAGTGAAGAAAGTATAAAGAGTAAAAAATTGTTATATGAAAGTAGGATTAATATTTTTTCCTCTTTAATACTGTGCCATGAAGCTAGTGCTTGGTGGTTTACACTGTCCAGCTTCACTTTGCCCAGCAGTGTCTGGGAAGCTGTGTCCCTGAGTGCATAAGAGCCTGCTTCCCTTGGAACACTGCTGGATGCCTCTTTCAGAGTGTTTGGCAATGATATTTTCTCTCTGCCTGAACCATCTCTGTGTCCTTGAGCCCATATTCTCTAGAGCCTTCTTGGTAGGGACTCACCAGATGTCTGAGGCTTTTTCCACCAGGAGATTACAGTCCTAAATAGACAAGAAGATTGAAACCAGGCTGAGATGTTTCAGCCGAAGCAGACAGTGGCTTGTGGCAGCACTTGTCTGGAGTGCCCCCACCTTCCCAAATGGCCTGTCCAGGGTTACTACAGGCAGAGGTGAGGAGCAAGGGACGCTCAGCAAGAGAGATTGGTGCTGTATTCACAGGGTGGTCTTCATATTCCCTTAATTTTATTAAGGGAATAATGCTTGGCCTATGGTTGAACTAGATCAAGCAGTTACACTTTTGAAGCCAATGTTCTATGATTAGAGTACTGCATAAGACCCTGTTCCATTTAAATACAGTAATAAATTGGGTAAATATTTGCCAGTTTCTTCTGTTAAGCAGAAGCTGATCATGTAGAGACTGAATTCAGAACAGTATTAGCAGAAGATTACTGATTGCTGCTGAGAGCTACAGACTGCCCCAATCACTGTAACTTCTGTGCTGTAGTCTAGACATTTCTGAATTCATTTCCTTGATAAGCTTCCAACCAAGTTTCATTCCATGGAGATGAAAGCTGTGAACTAAAGGTAGACTGTTAAAAACAGTATTTTTGATTTCCTGAGGAAGCTGAGGTGTGAATGAAGAGCAGGTAGGTATTTTTTGCTCTCAAAAGTGTTTTCCTTTTTCCTATAGGGGCAAATAAAATAGAAATGGCAGTTACTGGGAATATTTCCGGAGGCATACACAGGATGTATTTGATGGTGTATATGACATTATGAAAATAAGAGCATCTCTTTCCTGAAAGACCTAAACCATAAAAGCACATTTTAGAACACATCCTGCTAACAGACTGGATGTTTTGATTGTATGATATTAGTGTATTTGTGTTGTGGTGATGTGCATGGGCTGTAGGCCAGAGCCCAATTAACTCAGCTTCTCTACATACACATGCAGCCTTTTTTTTAACTTTTTCTCTCACGTGATGCTGCAATGGTGTAAGTTTAATGTTAGTTTCAGGCTTTGTCCTCTGACCAGCCCAAGGTCAGGAAGGCACCATGCTTCTTGATTTTTCCCCTGGATTAGAAAGGCGTTCATCCCACTTCTGTCATTCACCTGCTCTTGCACCAACATGAATTGTGTTGTGTGGATACAGGAGGTACAACCAGAGACCAGAAATGTGTGCCACCTTATAGAGTGCACCTGCTGTGCCATGTAGATGCTGCCACAGTGAGTGGCCGAGTTTGTACTGCTGCATTTACACCTGAGTTATGTTGTAACAAAATATTATGAAAATGCCAGTTCCTCATGTTTGTCTGTGTATGGGTAACTAAAAGCTGATTCTGTTTCATCTAAAAAAGTTCATAAATGAGTCAAAATGTGCTACTATGTGTAGTTTTATGTGATTTATGGCATATGGTTTAATGTTGCTAGCTTGCTATTTTTAGTGAAATCTTGTAAACTTTTAAGAACGGGCAATATAAATGGAAAGTTTCCAAGTGACAAACACACCTTGTGCTTTAGCTGTAAACATATATTCAGTTGCATGCTCACTGTGGCTAAAACTCTGTGGACTGTTGTGGGAATTAGTCCTGTAGTGGCTGGCAAGAAGCCTAGATTTGAATTTTGGGTTGGATATTTTTTGGATCGACCACAGTAGATTTCCTAAGGGAAGAGGAAAAAGGTTACCTTGCTAATTAGTTTTAAAACCATGCTCCTGAGTTAGTCTCAGAGAGAGAAAAGTGTTTGGAGGTTTGGCTATTTATTAATACATTCCTTGTGGTGGGGAATGTTTTACTATTTGCACTGTCAGGTTTCTTTGTCACACTATATATTTAACTGAATGATGAATAAAGCAGGGTAGGCAAAACTATGTATTTTAAAGAAACAACCCAGTCACAAAAGAAACATTTTTCTTATTAAGGGTTTGAAAGAACTTGTTTAGTTATTTTTCCCATTACTTTTGCATGCCTCAGCACTTCCAGGCGGTCTTTTAAGAGCTGTGTTGGTGTGTTACCTCTTATGTGGGTGGTTTCATAATTATTTTAGTAGTATGAGTAGGGCTCTGATCAGTGAACAAGGTTTCACTGTGCTATGTACTGTATGAATACAGAACATTAAAATGGGCTCTTCCCGAACAGCCAGCAAACTAATTAGCCTGTGTGAATAGCTGGATGCAGCAAAGGGATTGACAAAACTGGGTGGCACTGGCAGGACCACGAACAGTAGGATAAAGCATAAATTGGATGTTCCTCTCTCTATGGTAGTAATGTGATCATATTGCACCAATTTTGCTTTGCTGACATTACGGTTTTCCCCAAACTCTCCATGGTAAAAGGAGTGTTTAATTCGCAAAATCCAGCTCTGGGAGATTACAAATTGCTACCAGAACAGCATAAACTATATCTATCTTGTGCTCTGAAGAACACAGGACTCCTAAGGAACAGCAAAAAGTGTCATTTAATAATTAAATAAAATATAACATTTAATAATTAATTAAAAATCCTGTGATATAAAATTACATCCAAATGGACAGATGGGTTCAACTAGTGCTGTAAGTTGTCATTAGTGTTTCCTAATCTCATAGTACTTTTGTTGACAAACTACATGGTGCTTTTTAATGTAGTGCACCTTTTTTTTTGGTGCAAATACTTTAAAAGAAAGACCAGTTTTCTCTGAGTGCCACTGAGTCTCTTAGTGTGCTTTATCATCAGTCTTCTCTTCTCCAGACTAACAAGGCCCAGCTCCCACATCTCTCCTCATCAGAGAGATGCTCCAGACCCCTCATCATCGTTGTTACCCTTCACTGGACCCTCTCCAAGAGCTTCTGGTCTCTCTTTCTTGATGAGCCCAGAACTGAACACAGAGCTCCAGATGTGCCTCACTAGGGCCAAGTACAGGGGCAGGATCCCTTTGCTTGACCTGCTGGCCACACTCTTCCCATTACAGTCTCTCACCATTTTGATATTTGGGTAAACCATTGGCCCAGTGATGTACTTATCCTACCACTCTCCTGGTTCCTGCTGTGCTGCAGCTCCCAGGTGTTCTCCACATAATCCCTTTGCTATTGCCTTTATGGCATTACCAGGGGTCTTTAGGACAGTAAAGCTAGTTACTGTTCTGGAAGGAGGCCAGTATTTTCTTGAGGCATGCAAAAGACAGAATGGAAATGACAATTTTAATGCATAATATCCAATGAAAAGCTGAGCAGAATTTGATGAGGGAAAGGGTAATTTTGAAGCCCAAAGGCATTCCCATGTCAAATCCCAAAAGAATCAGGCTTTTTTAGCATCTTTTACAAGAAATTGTACAGCAGGCTGTGATGCTGCTGATACAGTAACATACTGATACTCTCTTAGGCTCTAAGAGGAGAAATACAAATACAGAAAGCTGTATCACCGTGTTTATTCATACTGGAGCTAAGCCCTGTCTCTATACCATGCACCCACCCTGCAGTGTTGATGTGTTTTGTTTCCCCTGCTATGAGGAAATGTACCAAACTGGATAGGGGAGTAGATTGAACAGGCTGTAATGTAGCTTAGCTATGGAAAGAAGGGCATAATTTTAGCAAAATTTTGTTTGCAATCAAAAATGTTTTTCTCTAGGGAATTACTGTCATACAGTGCACTGCGTATTCTGACCTCAAGATCTTAGTAAAACAATTGAATTGTACTTAGCTTGTGTACTGTTGAAAGGATTTTTGGTTGTTTTTTTTTTTTTGTATGGATTTTACCTTTGTCCACAAGCACAGTATACTAAATTGTCTAGGAAGAAAAAGACTCGTTGCGCTTTTTAAACTAGATGACATAAGCAGTGGAAAGAAAGTGGAGACTGATGCTGTTGACTATAAGAAAGAAATTTTAGAAGAATGTTAGTGGATTAAAACAACCTGGAAAAAGCTGGTGGTCAAGTGATGTATAGGTAGTAAGAGTAAACTTTTAGAGTGCAGCAGGATGAATAGGATATTCATATTGATCTGATACTAAATATAATCAATATAGCTTCACATTCTAATAAAGAAAAGACAGAGATGTTAAATACATATTTGTATGTAGGAATTGCCTGAAGATTTTTACATTTCTTATATAATAGGGACAATTTGAGCTTAGCAGCTTTAGGTTCTTTGCACTGAACATTTGTAGAAAAAAACCTGACACAATTCTAATTGTTAGTGTTGTCTTAAGTTGCAGAAAAATCTTGATAATTTCAGATTATAATTGAAAAATGATGCATTTTCTCTTCAAACTTGTGTTTTTTGCTGTTGTAAATGTGAGAAAAACCTGACACGTATGGCATGATGGGTATGGCTTCGTAGGACTCTAATTAGGGCAGTCCAGGATTTAGTTTGAAGTTGACAGATTTTTCTGCACCATTGATTGATACCACAGAAAACATTTTAACCTAGTTAATATTTTGTTTCAAACACGTTAATGGAATTTGAAACAAATTTAACCCTAAGCAGATACAAAAAATGAAGATTCCAGATTTGTGGTAAAATGTTTGTAGGCATTTAAAAGGGCTAAATATGAAATACTGCATGGAGCTTGGATGCATACTGCTTACACATCTGGCTTATATGAGAGCCAGATTTGTAAAACTACAAAGGACAGAAAACCCCATTTATTCTTTATGCTATACTTCAACATTTTTTTAAAATAATTTCTACCCAAAAATTTAAAGGGAATTATTTCCTTTAATTACATTGTACCTTTATAATTAGTCTTAGTAAATAAAAAATTATTAAAATAATACTATACTGTGTTTGTAAAGAACAATTAGTAAACTAGTAGCCATCACTTTAATAATTGGATTCTTGCATTGATATACGCTATTAAAAATTATTATTTTTTCTCCATTTCTTCTGTATATGTTAAATACTTTTTTCAGATTCACAAAATTTGACTCGTGCAGCTATTTGGGTATATGCTGCATCCTCCATCTCCTTGCAACAGTGGTGAGATGTTTGTAAGTCTGTGCAGCAGAGATACAGGTGGGAAAGCACTGAGAAGTGGCACACTGGATGCCAAGTAGATGAAAGGAGTGAAGGCTGAGCATCAGAGCTGCTTTGGCATTCACAAATGTAGGGTTTGTTGTCAGCAACTGCTCTGCAAGTGTGTTGAATTAGTAAGACAGTGAGTTTTTTGTTCCATTTCTATTGGCATTTAAGCGTATGAACTTGAAAGTGTAACTATACCCAGAACTATTTATAGGTATATGCAAACATTTAACAAGTATCTAATACACATTACTATGTATGCTCTGAGGGGTCTGTTGTTGGGGTTCTTGGATTTCTAAGTGTTCCCATCTTTATTGTCTGACTTTGGCTTGAAAAATGCCTTTTCATTATCCATGAAATTCCATTCATCCTTGGCTTACAAATAAAATGTTAGAAATCTCTCACTCCTCCCCCCACCCCTTGCATTCTTCAGGAAAATTTTGGCAGCCTTTGAAATAATAAATAGCTACACAGTGATTTTAAGCGTGGGTTTGCAGCATTGCCACAATGCTAAGTACTTACTGGAGAAATGAAAAGGTAGATGAGATTCTTGTCTCTTCCCCACCACGCTGAAGTGTTTAGCCTCACCTGCGTGCACCCACATATTTTCTCATGGCAGCTGATTTTTACTAGTATACGTAGCAGCAATCTGTCTTCTAGGGATGAGGGATGAGAGGCTCCTGTCTGCTCAGTTTGGAGGGAAGGAAAGGAAATATTTAGTGATATGAATAAACAGATTTCTTCCCTCTCCTCTCTTCAGATGCCCTTTGAATCTGAAGTTTTCCCTTTGAATTTTGTCCCCCTCCCCCAAGCTTGGAAACTGCCTTCAGAAGACCACACAAAGAATATAATTTTACTGCCAGTCAAGTACGACCTAGTGAGACTTAAGTTCCAATGTGACTGTGTTTTGATTGCATTGTCTCCATGTGTCCATATGCTCTTCGATTACTTGGCCAAATCCTAGTTTGTCTCATGGCAGTCAGTGAATCACATGGATACCAAGAGGCAGTGGAGTTCAGATTGCAGAGAGACAACCAGAAATCTGTAACTGTTCTGTACTCGACTTGCAAATTTGAGTGTTGATCCATTAATATTAATTTTTTTTTATTTTTTATTTTTTTACAAATAATCAATCTACCTATGCATGTAAAGCTCAATTGCAAAGAGGATTAAGAGGCAATGTATCTTGAAGCCAATTTCAGTTTAGTTCAATTCAGGAGAACTTAATGAAGGAGTTATTCTCTGATAGATTTTGATCTGATTTTGAAACAGGATAGTTTTGACATCTTGCAGTGTAGCACAGAGTTGTCAGACTTAAGCAAGTTATACTCACAGCATGTTGTTCATTTTGTGATGCCAGTTTTGAGGAGAGGTCAGACCAAATTCAAACCACATTGCATACCCAGAATGTGCACTGCAGATTTATTTTGCCTTTTTTCTACCTGTTGACTGTAAAATCTGTGTATCAGCCTATTGTGCTACCTTAGATTGTTGCTGGTTTGGAGTACTAATGGGATATTTGAACAAGCGTGATCATTTCTTCTTCCCTTCCCACCTTCTCTTGAGGTTAAGAGGGTTCATTTTTGAATAGTTATTGGATGTATTTGATATAAGCATGTACTGAAGAATTTTTTCATTCAAAATTCAGGAAATTTTCCTAACAAACATTCTAGGATTTGAAATTACAATGGCCAAGAGGAAGGTATACTGCTGTTTCTGTTGCAGATGGATCAGCGGCTAATGGAAGTTACTAGTTTTTGTGTTCTGTTGAAGTAATCACAGAATCACACAGATTCATTAAGGTTGGAAGAGATCTTCAAGATCTTCTAGTCCCATTGTCAGCCCAGCACCACCATAATCACCAATAAGCCATGTGCCCAAGTGCCACATCTAGACACCTCTTGAACATTTCCAGGGATGGTGACTCTACCACCTCCCCGAGCAACTTATTCCAATGCCTGACCACTCTGTCAGTGAAAAAATATTTTCTGGTATCTAATCTGAACCTCCTCTGGTGCAATTTAAGGCGATTTCCTCTTGTCCTTTCACTGGAGACATGGCAGAAGGGACTGACCTCCTTTGAGGTAGTTGTAGAGAGTAATGAGGTCCCCTCTGAGCCTCCTCTTTTCTGGACTAAACAACAGCTCCCTCAACCACTCTTTGTAAGACATATTTTCTAGAGCCTGATACAATGATAGTTGTTTATAGCCACTTATTAAATTAATTGCTTGTGATTTTCCACTCAAATACTTCGCAGTGTTTTCTCTTCTTTCTGCTACTTATTCATTCTAATTGCAATTTTGTTTTTTTAGACCAGAGAAGTTCTCTGGGTAGAAGGGGGAGATTTTTAGATTAATCACATTATTCTTATTCCCTATAAGATTAGTTGAGGGCTGCAGGTCAGAAGTTCTTGGGTTTGTTGGCCTGTGTAGTTCCTCAGATAAAAAGGAGTGGGTACTAAGTGAGTAGATTGAATTTGCCTTTAATGACTCCCTCTAGGAGCTGTGTTCTGCAGCCTTTCCAATTCCAGTGTTTTAAGATGGGGCACCAATCTGAGCTGGTGCAAAAAGCTTGTGTATGAGGGAAGACAGCTGAAGAAAATACAGACAAGAATGGTTTGGCAACTACCTCTGCACTTTGTTCCAAAACTGAATCACAGAAATGTCAAGCTAAGGAAGAAATAAGTAGCTGGAGGGATTACAAGAGCAGGATGCTGGTGACCTGTGTAGCCATAATGTGAAGTACACAACTGTTCTGTAGTCAGCAGTAACACAAGGATGACTTTTATTAGATGTTTGATAAAGGTGGGGTAGAGTAATCAGTGAGAAATTATACTGCAGATTTTCTGTCAAACGTTATGGGAACCTAAGTAACAGCTCATCTCTCTGTGGTGCACCAAGCATACGTCGGTTGGTTTGATAGTTGTCCAGCTAGTGCTGTAAACACTTTGGTGGAAGAGTCTGTGCCCTCCCTACCTTGGTACAAATTTCTAGACATCTTCTCTCCTTGCTCTGTGAAACCATTTCTGAAAATAAAAATTAATTTTTCTTTGCTTAGTGTGCAGCAAATTTCTTTACACTTGATGGGTACTTGTCATAGAATCGTAGAATGTTTTGAGTTGGAAGGGAGCATTTTCCATGTTGAGTAATTAATTTTTGTAATTATCTGTCTCACAGTACTGGCTGGATCCTGCAAAGACGCTTGCTGAACATAAAGAATTGATAAACAGTATGTATCTGAACTTAAGGGGCATATCTGAAGATGAAGTAACAGAGACAATGTTCTATCCATACAGCCTGCGCAATATTTATTTTCTAGTCACAGCAGATTGATAGTTCTTGAACAAGTTTGTTATTGCAGTTCTTAACTGTATCAAAATTTCACACGTAGGTTGCGCATGCTATCATTTTACAGTAATTTGTGTAATTTTTGTCTAAACATTTCTGCATGCCTAAATTTTATTTTAGACTAATAAGTGGTGCTATTCTTAATTTGTATAATTAATTTATAGTAGCTGTGATACCTCTGTCATAGTCTAGTGTACCATAGTTAAAATAGATTCACTTTTGCTTGTGAAAGTAAAAATAATGCCTCTTTCTGATAACAGAGTGTCTGCTATTACTGATAGTCTTCAGATATTGCAGATACAAGATCTGTTATTTGTATTATAATTAAAGAACATGATTTGGAGACCCTTTAATAAAAGATGTAAAAGTGGGGCACATGTGGAATAAATGTAGCTGTAAGAATTTTGGTACTGAGTTATCAGGTTTTTTTAGAAGAGCATTTTTAAAAGGTGAAGTAAAAGAGCTTTTCCAAATATTTCTTGATTGAATTGGCACATAATTAAAGTTACTGTGTAAGATATTTGAAAGTGTGGAAGAGTATTCTGTATTATAACTTATGACAGAGAATCACATTTCATGCACAATTACATTTTTCAAAAAGCTTCAGTGGAAGAAGTACTTAGAGGTCAAAATCAAGCAGCAAAAAAATTATCTTGGAGAAATAGTAAGTTAGAAATGAAAACTAAAGTGAAAAATTCAGAATAAGCAAAAATTCCAAGCAGACAGACAAAATATGAATAAATAAAAGACTAAAAATAATAGTAAAAATTATTTTTTTCTCTTGTGTAATGAATATAGGTCTATGGATTTGCTATGTGGATGTTACACTTTTTCTGAAACTCTCAAGTTTCATAAAATATTAAGATAAGCTTCTTAGTAGCTGTTTTGTAGTCAACCAGTAACAGTTCATAACAATAACAGTTCATGACAACTAATTTTTATACCAAATGTTTTTTTCACTCAGCTGGACCACCATACACTCTGTATTTTGGCATTAAATTTTATGCAGAGGATCCGTGTAAACTTAAAGAAGAAATAACAAGGTATAGTATTCAATGAAAGGATAGTTTGTTGTTCTCAGACTAGTGATGTATTTCAGCCAGGTGCATATTGTTGTGGTGTGTCTGGGTTGTTGTTTTTTGCTTGAACATCTGAATGTTTTTGCTTGAACATCCGAATGTTTTTGCTTGAACATTTGATGTGTAGAAAGAAAATTGCTATGAGATTCACAGTGGCTGGTGTGGACAACTGTTTGGAAGCCCAAGAAGAAAAGATGTTCTCTAGTGCATCAAAAACCAAAAGGCCTTGATGTACATTTGTGGTGGTGTTGTGGTTTTTTTTTTTTTTTTTCTGCTTTTATGTTGTGCTATAATCAAGTTTAGAGTTTACTTGGATACCAAATGTAAATACAATGAATATTCTTCTTTATTGGCCATAGCAAAAATTCCTGAGCTGTTTTTCAAGAAGATTTCTTTGGTCTTTCTAAAAATATGTGAAGGAAATTGAAGAGTTACATGCTTCTGATTCTTTTACCTAAGCTTGGCCTCTACAAAATATGAGTATGTACACAGTAACACATGCACATGCATGCACACAGACACATGCACACACATGGTTATCTGAACTCTCACACAGGGTTTTCTGTTTGGTTAATTTATGAAATGTCTCAGACAATTAATTTTAGGTGCAAAAGAAATTTGAGAATTTGGGTAGGTAGGCGGACAAAATTAGTGTGCTGGCTTGCATTAACAAATACCAAAATATTTCCTTTGATGTCGTAAGAATATGACACATGAGAATTCATTAGAATGCATGCAAAGTTTTTAATTTTCATTAATCAAAGGTTGCAGTTGTTGCAGAACAGGCAGAATAGTTTTCCTATACTGGAGTGAGAAAATTCTTTTGTTTCCTTACTGGCACAAGGAATGGAAGTCTCCAATAAACAAGGCTTAGTCTGGCCTGGTATAAATAATAAATGTTGTGACTTCACAGGTAAAAGAGCATAAGTTGGTGGCCGTGGGATGCCCCTGTACCATGGAATTTTGTTGCATTTTTCTTGTACTTTTCTTGTACTTTAAATCCTGCTTACAGGGAAAGATGGCCCTGGGAAGGGAGCTTTGGCCACTGAACGTGTTGTGATTTCCTCATGGGGGTCAAGATGGAGGCAGGGGGCTAAATTTTCAAAAATTGTTTCTCTTTGCCCTGTGATCTGCAGTCAGTGATCTGCACTGTTGATTAGGTGTGTGAATCCAGTCTAGAAATGTTGTAGTGTGATTAGGGAGCCTCTGTTCATGTCAGTATATGGTCATGCAGAATTGGCACATCATGCAGAGGGAGGGCTTCAGATATATTGTGTTGACAGTCTTCTACAAAACACATTGATTAGTCAAATACCATCAATATTTATGAGCATTTATTTCTGTAGGCTCTTAAGTCTTGGAAGGAAGGTGCTTCTTCATCCGGAGGAGGGGGGAGTGGAAACCAACCAACCAACCAACCAACCAACCAAAAAAAACAACAAAAAACCCACCTGTTTAGAATAACTTGGCTTGGAAGGCACCCTTAAAGGTCCTTCACTTAGGGGGCATTAAAGACCCTACTTTTATTTATGCTAATAATTTTCTGCCTAACTGTGTAGTTCCAGTGATGTGTTAACTATTTTGTGCTAACCAATTGAAGCATGTATTTATTACTTTAAAGGATATGAGAGTGAACTCTGTTGTTATTAGATGTTAATGATCTGTGTCGTTACATGATTACTCTCTGCAAATAATGAAAACCTGTCAAATCTATAATTGCTTTGCAGCAAAATCTGTCTGCCTTGTAGGCAAAAGCTCATACTGCAGTGTTTGCTGGATGTGTTTGCTAGAGGAAACTGGCACTTAGGCACTATAATGTATGCATAAAAAACTTGACAGCACACAAGACAAGAGTGCTTTAGCTACGAGTTTGGACAAATGGCGTAGTTTTGTGAGGAGCTTAGTGGCTTCAGTGGGAACTGAGATTGTTCACTTTATAGGAATCACTTAAGCACTTAAAGTTGGCTCTGTTTTTGCAAGAAGATGGCTGTTTTGAAGATTCCTATGTTTTATTTTGAGATTACACTATGAGAATGCAGAAATATAGGTGCCTTTCCAAGGAAAATAAATTTGTAGCATCATGTGGTACAAAGCTCTGTTTTGTAGAGATGGAGAAGTGCTAATAGAAATACAGGTGCATATAAGAAATGTATTTCATATTGAAAAGAAGATTTTGTGTACTCCACAGGAGGTGTAAAATCCTCTTTGTCATTATCATAATTCAAACAAAGAAGATTTGTGTAGGTAGGACTGCAAGCATAAGCTAGAAGTAGTACTTAGTGAAGAAACACTGAGTGCTTTGTGTTGCCTAATGACATTCCCAAAAAATTCTTATACAATGCCCTGCTCCTTTAAGGAGGAGATTATTAACCATTTTTTAGAGGATGGACATTCCTATTATCTGTCACGAATTCTGGGGGATCATTAATCAGAAAGACATTGGCATCCTTGTTCAGGGGCTCATCTGGCTGAAAAGTCTAGTAAATTTGGTTGGATCTTAAATGTTTTGAGAGTCAGCTGTCTGTAACCTGCAGTTTGTAAACTTCCATGAAAGCAGTGTAGGTGCACTTTGAACTTACAGATCATTCTAAGGTGCTTTCATAAGTAACTTGTACCAACATAGAATAATTATTTGCAGAGTAGCTAAAGGCTTCTATGTAGATAACATTGAACTAGTAAATAATGAAAAAGCTATGTGCTTGTATGGATGATCCTTTTCTTTCTATGAAAAGCTACCTTCTCAATATTGTTAATTTTGTAGGAGCTAATGAAAGGAATTTACTTAGGATGGTGTGAGACACTGCATAAATCTGTTGTCATAAAACTGGACAAAATTCAAACAGTGTTTAAAAGATATCCTGTGAATTATTATGGTGAGTTGTAAAACCAAGCAGATCCTTTGTATGATGGCTTGTTTCCTTGTCTTTACTTTTCTACTTTATGCATATTTATTTACTGTAAGTGCTCTCAGTAATTGCTTTATCAAGTGTAGAAGCAGGTTATGACTTTGAAAATTACATTTTTACCCCTGCCATCTCTGTTGCAAGAAGGACATGGAGGTATGGACTCCATCAAACCTGCTTGCTGCATTATAGCTGATACTCTGGTGTGTGGAGAGGAAATATTAGAGTAAAGAAGTATCCAATACTCAGTTCTCCTTTATGTTAACCACTGGTCAGGTTAAACTTTGGCCCTTTTATAGGTTTCTTGTTCAGTTTTTCTGATCATGGTCCTCGTCCCTACTTCCTCACTGCTCTATGAAAGCCAAAAGAGCAAAATGACATTATTAGGGGGAAAATTATTTGCATCTGCACAGTATAAGCAGACGGGAAAACTACAGAGTGCTCCTCTACCTAGGTTGTTTCACTAGATAAATCTTAGTTGGTACTTCAAGGTCAATGTGGGAAAAGCCATTCATAGAGGAATACAAATTTTTATTGTCACATAATTATGGTACGTGGTATGTCTACAGTTAACTGGGTGACTTTGAAATATTTTGGTGCATCAGGCTTGAAATAACAACTTTGTTTTCTCTTTATGTTTTAGGTATCAGTTTTTCTTGCAGGTAAAGCAAGATGTTTTACAGGGCCGTTTACCTTGTCCAATCAACACTGCAGCACAGCTGGGAGCATATATAATTCAGTGTAAGTTCTTCTGGCCAATAGAGAGCTTATTTCTTTCAATCATGCATTATGACTAATTTTAAGTGGTGACTGAAGACATCATTAACACTTTATGAATTCAATTTAAAACAGAAAAAAACTAACGTGACTGATTTCATCTAAAGAACTGTAAATAGATGGCCATTCTGAACAGATTTCCCTAAAAAATATGGCAAATATGAAGCAGGAAAATATGCAATGATGGTAATATCTTCATTGTATTATGAGAAATGAATAAAAAGAATACATTTTTCTCCTGTAATCAATTTTAAGTAGGTTAGAGCTGTAGTTTTGGTATACTATTCTGTTCCTATGATTCTAATCTCAGATATTCTGTTGAGAAACAATGAGAAAGCTTATGGGAAGAGCAGAGTTAAAGCATGGCAAAGGTTACATCCAGCAGGTTAAAGTTAGTCCAGGCACCAGCAAGCGTGCATTCCCATGGACTCTATAAAAATCTTTATCCTTTTATTTAGGGTTTGCAGTCGCTCAAATATAGAAAGACACTTGAGAAATGTCTGTACTGAACATATGAACTGAATATATGTCAAATACTGAACATATGAATGCAAGGCACCAACACCAAGGTCCAGGGTGCTTTTTCAAGGGTGATGTGCTAGACCAGGCTTATGTTCTATTCCAAACTGAGATTAAGTGTGTTTGTGGGAATTCGAAATAACTGAGGAGCTCTGCTGGTGTAATGCTATCAGTGGTGTTTTTCCCAGTGGAGCTAGCAGCTGCTGAGATCTGGAGAAGAAGCCAGGGCCATATGTTCTGCTCCAGCCACAGGCCTGGCTTTCACCATTCAGGTTGTGTCTGGATGTCATCTTCGGCCTCTGAGCAGATCCTTTCCTTAACACAGGAGTTGTTTTCCTCCTTTTGTGATCAAAGATGGTGGAAAAATCAGTATCCATGGCATAGTTTGCTGAATACACCAGTTTTCTTATTGGGTGTGCTGGAATTGTTGCTGTTGTAGTAATTCCTCTTCTTATTCCTACTGTGGGCAAGAACCATGATATTTTTATGGAGGTTTTCCATAAGAGAAACTTCTCAACATTCTTATGGAGTGGATCAGGGGCTTTTTCTAACAATGTCATTCCGACATTCTGGAAAGAAACTTTAGTAATTAGATGAGTCTTTTCCTTCTTGGCTCTTGAAGCCTTATTTTGGCTATGCTTTTGGTTTAGTGGGAATTGGATAGAAACCTTCCGTGAAGTCTTTCTCAGAGAACCTCAGTCTACAGATGTTACTCAGTGTTATTAAAAAATACAAATACTAACTTTTGCAGAGTTTCTCAGATAGATGCAATTATAGTTAAGATCAGTAGATGTGAGTTCTGACCAAGGTGCATATTATTTTTATAATTACAGCATATGAACAGACATGACTAATGTATCCAAATTCAGGATTGTTTCAAAGAAATTTATATTGACTATTCATTATGTTCTTTAAGAAAATTCTTTTAAAAGTTATTTTTATTTTGAAAGTGAATTTAATATCTAGGAAATACATCAATATTTTATTGAAAAAGGAAGCCTTGTGATTCCTCACAAGAAACAATGCTGCTAGAAGACCTTCCCTCTGGGTGTTTCAGGATATTTATCTCCATTTGCACTCCCAGACATATTTTCTGGTTGAGATAAAACATTGAAAATAGGTGACCTTTGTTTTCTTCTTGTGTCCTGCAGCTGAGCTGGGGGACTATGACCCGTACAAGCACACCGCAGGCTATGTCTCAGAGTACCGCTTTGTGCCAGACCAGAAGGAAGAGCTGGAGGATGCCATAGAGCAGATACACAAAACTCTAATGTAAGAATTCAGTACTGTTGGGAACTTGTCGGTTAATGCCAGATTCAGAGATGTTTGGTAGGTGGGGAGGAACAATTTGTGGTACAGAGCGGAGATCTCTGGACTTGAGGAAAGAGCACAGGGCATCCAGTTGTGCTTTTCAGAAACAGAAAAGGTTTTATATAACTGAAGTTGTTCTTTTAGGAACTGTGTAGGACAATAACTGGAAATGTGAAGTCTGTCAGACCTAGGTATGGGTGTTTCAGAACCAGCAGTTTTAGTAAAACGTGCCAGAAGTTCAACCATATATAAAGCCAAAATAAACATTTACTTGCTTATGTCCAAGCTCATGTTCATGGTAAGTGTAGAGATGCTTGTTCTAACAAATCCAAGTTAGGTGCAATTGTGATATATATTTGTTAAGATGAGAGCAGTAAGAAACATTTTATGAATATGCTCATCAAACCATTTGTCAAAGTAATGCAGAGATAATCACCCATCTTATGTGTAGATCTAGATATCTTGATTCTCTTGCTGTAATGAAGCCACAGTCTGGATAAAGGTTAAGTAATTTTTGCCTGTAGTATTGTTTATTACTGTGATTTGTGTCTTGTTTAATGAGAATAGGTATTAACTCAGGGTCACAGCTGTTCTCTTTGGCAAAGTTCTCCAGTAATTGCAGCCTGTGACAGTTGCCACAATGCCTGAGCTTTCTCTTCCAGGGAAGAGAGTCTATTGTTCAATAAGTATTTCTGTGAGGTTGCATGACAGCATTATAGTAATTGATGTATTTCAGAGAACTTGCTGCAGATGCTTCTGTGAAGTAAAAAAGTATTGGTTTTTCTGTTCCAGAGGTTGGAGACTGAATCACAGATAGTTTGCTGGGTTCAACATCACAGAATTTGTTTGTGAGGATGAAACTTGAGGTTAATTACTGTGAACCAGGCCACCAATACTAAGCAGCCTTTATTCCTCTCTCCCAAGTTTCTGTAGTCATTAGTGTAGTCATCAGTAAATCTTATTGAGACCCATTTGCTTCAAAAGGTTTGTAACCTTGAAGATGAAATTCAGAAGCCAGGGGAACAGTGGTTGTGGAGTGTTAACTGTCATAACAGTCTCTAGTGTTTTTATATGCTTATTAACTTAGGCCTCTGATACTCTCTTGCTGCTTGACTGCAGTTAGGTGTCAGGGAATTAGCAGCAAAAGAGTATAATTAAGGTGTACCCACTACTAGCTCAGCCTGATTTTTATCATCAGCACTCTCAACATTGACTTCTGCACAGGTGACAGCAATCTCTTTAGTTAAGAAGTTTGAAGCTGTAATGGCTGAAGGCATCCCAAATTATCTCATCGATTGGAGATGTTTCCGGGACAGGTTTGTGATATAGTTTGGAAGAACTGTTTTATTCTTTCTGGATCTCAGCACAAAAACACAGGGCTTGTTTGTTTGGTTTTTTCAGGACAGCTGTAGCACAGCATATACCTTGTTTCTGCTAGTTACGTCCAGAAAAACAATTTTTGATTGCATGTTTTCTCTCAGTTTTGTTTTACACAGCACAATAGCTATTCAGGGATTCAGTAAGGATGCAGTTTTCTGAGGAAATTTCTAAATCAAGAAAGGTGAGGGAAGTCAGAGGGTGGAGGGGGTTTCTGACTGCATCAAGTCTCTGCAGCCTCCCTGCTGTGGCTGTTGTCACATCTGTAAACCAGCATGACAATCCCAAGGTCGAATAGCAGTATGAGGTGACCCAAAGTCATCATGCACATGTGGAGGATCAAGCAGTGACTTCGGGCTTCCATCTTCTTCCTTCAGAAGCTCCAGCTCACATCTTTACTTCCTTTAATCTTTTTGCAAATACAGGTTTTTATACAAATATGAAACATTATGTTATGTTTGTAACATGTAGGTATGTTATAAAAATACACACACTTATTTGTCATTTCAGCCCTTTGGTACTTTCAGAGATAAATGAAAACAGAGGAATAAGTGCATCAGCATTTTTCTGAGAAAGGTCACTAAGGACAGATTAGCATCAGTATTTAAATTGGTGCTGGATTCTAGCACTAATTCAGTAATGGGGTAATCCACTTTTCTCGGGACTGATATTTAGTCTGCTTGGGAGCTCACTGAGATAGTTCTGCTCCAGTGAACAAAATCATGCTGTGGACTAAATTTTTAGAGCAAAAGTTGATAAAAGATATGACAGATGTGACATCATTGATGTGCTGAATATCCAGAGTTCTACGTATTGTGAATACAGACAATGAATTACACATCTACTGGGAAATCCAGCTCTAGAAGAAAGGGATTTTTCTTATGAGCTTTAGATCTGCTGCATTTCCAGGAGTCTTTGGAAAGAAGAGCTATCATCTGAAGCAGGGGTAAGATGAGCTGGATCAGCCCATCTCTCAGATACAAAGGAGGCATTTTGAAAACCTCTGCTATTGCATTTAGCAATGCCATTTCACATCTTTGACGTTGGATGTAGGTTTTACCTTGTCAGGCATAACACAAAGTTGGGAAAACCTGGACAGTAGCTGCTAGGCTAGAGAGAATGGGGAGACAAGAAGCAGGAATGTACATATTACAGGACCTTTCCAGGTCTTGAATCAAAATGTTGAGCTCTGCTTCACACATTGGATTTGAAAGGTAGCAAATCCAGTGAAGTATTTCCCTAAGAAAAGAATCACAGGGTGAAGCTGGTTATACATCTTTTTGAGTTGATATTTATATAAGATGTGCTGTACTTTCCCAATAACAGTCCAGTAGCTTTCACAGAAGTGTTGAAACGGAGTGAAAATGAAAATGCAGTTTCAGCTATTTCAAGCTTACAAACCAGAATCTTACTCTTTTATCAATGGCAGATATTAAGGGAAGAACAAATTAAATTCTGAGGATAAGGCTTTAAATTTATTTAGTTATTTTGTTCTTTTCAAAAATAAATACTTCGTCAGTGAAGTCAAATATGTTCCTAGTAGTTGTTTTGTTTTTGTGTGTTTTTTTTTTCCTCCCAGTTTCCCCCACTTGTTTACTACCAGAATGCAGCTGATGGTACTTTTCAACTGATGGATTGATATCTGCAGATAGGAAGGCATGCTGGATCTTTGAAAGTGCTAATCCCATGAGACAAATGCCAAACTTTGTTTTCACAGTAGAACACTGGGCTATTGCCATTTGGTGTGACTTTCTATAGGCAGGGTTTTTTGAAGAAAGGAATAATTATCTGAAGTCATGAACCTTACTTTCAGAAATCATCTGTAGCTTCAGCACTGCTATGGGGAAATAGTACCCCAGTCAGTCATACCATTCCTGCTTCAGTGAAAATCATGTAGTTATTGGGAAAAAAGTTATTTGGCATATTGGAGCCTAAAAATAGAATATCTGAAGTGTGTTTACGGGGAAAAGATTAGCCACTGTAGTAGGCACACATTGTAATATGATAGCCTATATGTCTGTGGTAGGAGACCAGTAGAGATCTAGTCTTACTTGGAGCAAGAAGTAGAGTGTTGGAAAGACAAAGTAACAGTCTAAAAAATGGTAGGAAGGTCTGTGTATGTGTCCAGCAAACTGTATTTATTCATATGATCGATTTTTATATTTTGACTGGAAGTGCAAAGTTCTTACACAGGATTTTGTTTACAGGGGTCAAGTTCCTGCTGAGGCAGAAGTAAACTACTTAGGCGTGGCCAAATCCCTGGAAATGTACGGAGTTGATCTCCATCCTGTTTATGTAAGTATTGTTTAAACTTGCTAACAGTGAAAAAAAAAATTGTACTAATGCAGGAAACAGTCCACAGAATAACTTGAAAGGAAACACTGTACTTAAGAAATGCAAAGGAAGAGATACTTATGGATGGAGACAATACAGTCATTCATACATACAGAAGCCTAATGGTTTTCAGATGAAATGCTGTGATTCTATTACACCTATAAAAAAGCCATCGGTTATGCTCTGGAAAAAAACAGTTCAGATAGATAAGAAGTAAATAGAGAAAGTCTCAGGAGAGAGGAGTGAGAGCTATAGCCTTTGTCTTTGACAGAAAAATTTGCATATTATTCTTGTTTAATAAGAACAAGTGTCTCCTGAAACCTTTTCAATACTGTTGCAAAAATTAGGGTGGAGTAGCAGCAACATATCTGGCTTTTTAAAATATTTGTCTTGAAGGTTTTACTAAAGATCTAGAGTACGTTTTCAGTTTTTCCCAAGTTTCATCATGCAGCATTGCAAGTTATCTGTATTGCCTCATCAAAAGCCTTCACTTTTTTTGTATATCAGCATTAAATTGGGATTGGATCCAAGTCATCACCTGGAGGCTATGTGCTGCTAATGGAAACATCATTCTATCTTGTTTGAATAATTGCACTTGTGGCAGGTTTTTTTTTAATAAAAGAAAATCAGGAGTTCAAATGGGAAGTTGTAATGTAGATAGTTCATTGAGTTGGATGAACACTTAGTAAAATTGCTTGAAAGAAAATAAAGAAATCAAGATACTACCAGAAGATTAAGTGTGTATTTCCTACCGAAAAATGTGTAGCCTGCAATATAAAGTATTTTTTAATGCACCCTGTGGCTTAATTGTTTTCATATCTCATGCTCTGTGCCCCTCCAACCCATAGAAAACTGGGGGAGTGAACTGGAACAAGATTCAACATAATTCAGCAAAATCATGTTAAATTAGCAGAGCTTGGAATTATTTTTTTCCTCATGGCTTGCTTTTGCTGTGCAATGAAATCCCTGCCTGGGTAGTGAGGGATGATTTCCAATATGCCCAAGTCTAATCCATGAACATCATTGTTCCTACTTATATTACAGCAGCAGCAGAAGCCCTCATTTGAGACTGAAGCCACACACATAATGAGATGTAGTTCTTTTTCTCATTTGATCATATTAAAAGTAAAGTCACCTTTAGCAGTTAATTCACTGAGGAGCACAGTCAGAACTTGACAGGTGTGCTTGACTTCGTAAGGTCTGTAATTACACAGGGCACTTTCCACAGTCAGTCTGTCTCACGATTAGTGTTTTTTTGCTGTTCATGCTCCGCTAGTTTAGAGATTGCAGTGCTCTTCCTCATTGCCTAAAGTGGGCAGATGAATGAACTTTTTCAGTTAACTTTCTTTTAACCTCATCCACTAAGGTTTGCACTCTTTCAAGTGTGGGGTGCTTCTGATTTTTGTTACTGACCATAAACTGCGGAGGTGGGCACTTTCTACCCCTCAGCACCAGCGTTTTCACCCTGTTCTCTCTCAGATTTATTTGTATACTGACTTCAGGAGTGGTTTCCTTTGGAGGAGATGATGCATGTGGCTGTTCCCTGTATGCCATTGCCCATTCTGAACAAAACAAAACAAAACAAAAAAAGCTTGTCTCTCCCAAAGGAGCTACTTCACTTTTTAGCAGTATGCAACTGACACTAGTTTAGGCTGGAGAGGGCAGCTGTGCGGTTGTATCATAGTAGAATAGATCAGAAAATTGCTATTTTCCTTTAGCTGAAAGTTGAGATATCTGTTACATTCATGCCTCAATAAACAGTTTAGTTTCTGAGTTTTGGCTATCTGCCAAATAGCCAAAAGTAATTCCATATTAAAAAAAATTTTTGGTTTTCACCATGGCATGTGGAAACTCATTCTTTCCCTCGCTGCCATTCTTTCTTACCCCATTGCCGCCTTACCTACAAAGTCTTGTATAGGATCTTGTCTGTAGGTCAAGTACTGTTTTCCCATTTGCACAGAGAGCAAAACAGTATATTCAAGTCATCAGGATGACTTCCTCACTGGACTTCAGTGCTATTGTGATAAAACTTGCAACTGTATGAATGACATACACTTTTATTTTCTAGGGTGAAAACAAATCTGAATACTTTTTAGGATTAACACCCATAGGAGTTGTTGTCTACAAGAATAAAAAACAAGTAGGAAAATATTTCTGGTATGTATTATTTAAATGTGCAGTCTGCACTAACACAAAAATAGTGTTGTATGGAAATGTATGGTTTGTGATATCTCTTTGAAAGGTTAATTAAGGCAATAGAAAAAAGTATACTTGAAATTCTTAATATTTCTCTGTATTACGCAGATTTTTAATTCTTTGATAATCTAGGTATTGAAAACAGTAGATCACCTTTACCATACTCACGTTGAAGTGTTTACATACCACTAATTTTTTGCTGATATCTGGGTCATACCTGAAAAATAAACCTAACTGTGAATTCGTTTTTGTCTTTGTGTGTAAATATATACAACTTTATATTTTATGATGCATGAAATTAAAGGCTCATGAAGTTCTGTCTTGTCTTTTTTTTCTCCTCAACATTACAGGCCTAGAATTACAAAAGTTCACTTCAAGGAAACACAGTTTGAACTTAGAGTCCTGGGAAAAGATGTAAGTTTTTATTTAAGCCTGAAAGGATAAAGAAGTAATCTCAGGTCTAATGACGTTGGAAATTTTATATGTCCATCAAAGTCTAATTTATTTTATTGAAATTTACTGTAAGAAAACATCAAAGTGAAATTCATTGTATTGATAATTACTGCAAGAAAATAACATTATCCTCACGTGCAGTATCCTAGAATTGTAAGATGGTTTGGGTTGCAAGGAAGCTCAAAGATCACCTCATTCCAAACCCACTGCTACGGTCAGGGACACCTTTCACTAGACCACGTTGGTCAAAGCACCACCCAGCCCGTCCTTGAATGTTCCTGAAGTGGCTTGCAGTTTTGTTAAAGGGAGAGATGAAAGAAAGGTTTTCTGTCCACGCTTTGTAGCAAGGGGAAAGAACTTCAGCAGTACCGAAGTAGGAATTTTATGACGAATTTTTATCATTTTACATTGTGCTCTATAAATCAGACTGCTTCTGCAATGCCTTGGTATTGTGGAAGTGCTTTTAAAGTGCTTTTGAACTAGGATGCAGGGGAAGCTAATATTAAAAAAATGTGGATGAAGGAAAACTCAAAAAGCTGTTGGGCACAAAAGTAATTTTGTAGCTAGGACACAAGCAGCCATATTATACCGCTTGAAACCTATTTGTCAGAACTTAACATCGTGTGCTGTTAGGCCATTTGAGAGAAAGCAATCTTGGTTCCAGTGGAGCAAGTACAACAGTTCGATAGCGGGAGAGGAGGTTTTAAGGTAGAGTCAGTGTAAAAAAGACAAAGATGTTCATCACCTATGAAACCTGTGGGGTAGGGGGAGGGAGGAAGTGTTGAGGATGTAGGAAAAATAACGAAGTGTAATAAAACAAGTAGTTGCAGTCAGTCTATGAATTTTGGTATCTGATTTAGTTACAAGTTTAGTTTGAGGAATTATTTTTTTGAAAATACTTTGTATGTCTCTTTGGAAGATCAGGACTGAAAGTTTATAGTTTTAAGTGGTATTAACCTGCTGGCAGTAATCCCCTTTACAGTTTTTTATGTGTCTTCGTTCACCTATATAGTGGTTGTCAGTCTCATCTGTGATTTTTCCATGAGGTCTTTTGGTATGTTGAGTACATTCCGCAAAATATAAGTGTACCGCTGACTGGTTGCCTTGCTTCTGTCACAGACAGCGTTTTTTGTCTCCACAGATGTATTGGCAAATTTTGCCTTTGATACTCCCAAGTGGTTTGGTGTGGTAATCTGTAGATTTTCTTTCTGATGGTGTGTTTGTTGAAATAGGAGAACTGTTAGAAAGCTGGGGGAGGGAAGGGTGGGAAAACTTGTCACAGTGTTTCATGTAAAGGGTGAATGATAGTTCATGTATAGTTCACCTTTTACCTTTTACAAGTTTGAGTTTAACTTTGAATTAATTGCTTGGAAGTGAAGCTGCAGTTTCTGTTTGATGCCATATTTCTATAGTTTTTGTCTGAACCATGTGCAATTGCAAAGTTTTAACATGCCAAGTAGAAAACCTGGAAGCTTTAGAAAATGTGCCTAAATGTTGATGGCTGGTGAAAACTTACTATTGTGATCATAAGGCAGACATTTCGACAGAATTTAGTAGTTTCAAGCCTTGACAGGTACTTCTAGGAAACTGTTCAAATGAACGGTAAGTACAAGGGTGTGTACCATCATTAAATTCTCCTTGGCATCTAATACTAATTTGAAGTGTTTGTACAGTGCTTCATATCCTAAGAAGATCAGGAAAGACCAAAATGGCACAGAAAGATCTTCTTTTCCCTTTTTGTTAAGAGTCTGGTGGTACTTTGAACAAAATTATATCTTGAAATAAGTAAACAGTATCCTTAGTCTCTAGAGTAAAGCTGTTGTAACAATTTATGCTGTTCTATACCCAGAGGAGGAAAAGCTCATCAGTGTATTTGTATGAACGTATGTTCCAATACTCCTTGAAAAATTAATGCTCAAATTCATTTTATTCCTCTGGTTTTTTTGGAATAAATGCCATCACTTTGTCCTTCCGTGTGGGACATGGCTATATGTTAGGAGAGTAAATGTGCCATTTTCACTCCATCCTTCCTCCAGGGATATCACTTTACAGCCCAGGGAATGAATACTTTCCTTGTATCAGATGTGCTGTATCAAGTCTGGAATGTTTTACATGTTTCCAGTTAGCTGGAGAGAACTCCAGAAAATACTCAGGAAGAGTAGAAATAATAGGGATTTTCTCATTTCTCGAATGGAACTTTATGGCATATAGTGAGGAAGCTAACACCACCTAATGGAGCAGATTATTTCTGAGTGAATCGAGTGCTTTGTGTGAATCATGTTTTCCATATGGTAATGAAAACTGTGTAGGGTGTATTTTGGTTCATGTTTCCACACACACTGGCTGCCTTTATTCACGCTGACAGCCACCTTTCATGAGTACCCCTGCTCATCAAGAGGAAGCTGTTGGTGCCTTTAGTATCAGTGAAGTGCTGCTTTTTCCCTTGTGGTAACTTCTTTATTTTCTCTTCCTGAGAATTTTTTGAGATTTTTTCAAACCTACCAGAATGGTGTGGAAATGGGCATCCAGATATTCTTGACAGATGACAGATGTGGCAGTCTAAACGTACAGGTCCATATCATTAGGCTGCCTAAAAACCACACAGTGGAGTGTCTGTGTCAGCCCTGCTTGTGGCTGCTCATTTTGTTGTTTACATTGCTTCACTTCTCATAAACTTGGTGTTTACTGAGTGGAAATATTGTTGCTTAGTGTCTGATAATGAAGTAAGGTGCTTCGCCTTTTCTGTTTTGTAGTGTAACCTCTTGTACTCCTTCATATCTCTTCCATGAAAAGAATTCCTGTATATTTAACTTCCTTGCATTTTTTCCTGCATACCTGTTGCTATTGTGTACAAGCATGACCATCAGTATTTTTGTTTTATCTTTCACTACTTTTCTTGTATTATGTTTTGTCCCTGAGGCTATTGCCCCTTCATAAACAAAATACCGCCTTTAATATTTGTCCGTCCATGACTTATCCTGACATGTGAGACTGAAACTCTTTCACTGATGTTAATCATTCAATGAGTATTTCATTGTCCCCTGAGTGGACCCATGCTGTGAATTCTGAACTATAAACATGTTAGGTTTTCTGTGGCACCTCTAAGTATCGGCATGAAAATAGGAACCCTTTCCCTGCAAGGACTGCAAGAAGGACTCCCTGAACATGACAAACAATTGCAAAAAATTTGTGAAAATGAGAGAAGTTTTTATTTTCTTGCAGTTTTCTTTAGGAAAACAGAAATCCATCTAGCACCTGTGCACAATTCCTGGTAGGGATAGATGTCTGTTAAGCAACCTTGCTGGAAACAATCCAGCAATATAGGTGGCTGCCAAAGCCCTTCCCTCTCCACCAGCAAAACAGAGCTTGTTCACAGTGGATGCACTATGTGGAAGTGAGTAGTCGAAGGGGTGCACAGCACACCTTCTGTTACTTCCCCCATGTGAGGAACATGGCCGGCTCCCCTAGATTTTTCTCTCAACTAAGGACATGAAACAAAACACCAAAAAACATGCTTTAATAGAGTGTGTGGGCTGGGAATGCAAATGTAATAATATGCAGGAGTGAGAGATGTGGGGCTTTTTTTGCCTGTAGGTACCAAGCACTTCTGTGCTGTTCCCCACAACCCCATGCTGTTTTCTATAACTGCACCTTTTACTTCAGTTGCACTGTGTCTGAACATGCACATGAATGATTTCACTTCTTCTCAGAGTTTATGCAAAGCTTTTCATGTTTTTCATCTTTCTCATTCACCAAACCAGAAAGCATTCAATGTGCAAAGCGCTTGCTTTCATTATTTTTGTTGTAAAGGAGGATCTTTTTGAATTCTGAATTTTATATCGCAAGAGATTTTGAAATTTGGGTATTTTAAGTCAGAACAACCTCCAAAACTGTGCAGTTGAAAATGATTTACACACTTTCAAGACATGCCTTCCTCTGCGGTCTTCCATATTCAGGTGAAGAGGCCTATCTCAGCTGAATTCATAAAGTGAAATTGGTAAAGACTCTTCAAGAGCAATACCAAACACTGATGCAAATCAGAAGTATATAATACTCCCCATTTTGGTGACTGAAAGTTGTCTAAATACAGTATTTTTCTGTTCTTTTAAATAGTCTCAGAAAACCCTGTAAATATGCTTTATTTTTTTTAATCTGCTTTTCCTAAGTGTTAGAAATATGAAAAATAATTATATTAATAAAGTGCTTCAGCTGTACCTCTTCTTTTCCTATCAAACGCTGTATTCCATCTTGAGTTACAAGTTCTAGCCAGGAACTTTTAATTTGATATATTGCTCCTACAATTTCTTGGGAAGACTGAACAGGGTTTGAAGGTATATTCCTCCCAGTCTTAAGTCCAATTTAGCTTACGTACAATTTCCAGACAAAAATAGCATTTTGATCTTCCTTTTGGTTTAAGAATTTCAAGTGACTTTTGTATCATTTGCATTTGCACCTACTTAAGTCAGAGTGGTAGTGGAGGATGGAGGTGAGCCAGCACAGTGGTATTAATATGTCATATTTAGTTTGTTTTGATTGGTTGGGTGTTCTCTTGTCTTTTCTTAACCACTTTTTGAGCCATCTTAGAAGGACTGTAAGACTGGTTCAAGGCCTGCATAAACTTAAATTCACTGCCACTAAGGTGTTACTCTCAGCTTTTTTTAAAAAATTCTTCTTTAGTATTTTTTAATTGGTATAACACAAGGCAGAGATATGTTTATTGCAATTTTGACATGCTTTCTGTAAACTGGCACAGCTTTATTAATTTTAATCCCTGACTTGATACGACATTCTTAAAGATTGAGCTCGTCTAACAACTAATAGTACAGCTGAGGGAGCTGGGGTTGTTTAGCCTGGAGAAGAGGAGGCTCAGAGATGACCTCATCACCGTCTATAACTACCTGAAGGGAAGTTCTAGCCAGGTGGGGGTTGGTCTCTTCTCTCAGGCACTCAGCAATAGGACAAGGGGGCACGGGCTTAAGCTCCTCCAGGGGAAATTTAAGTTGGATATCAGGAGAAAATTCTTTACAGAGAGAGTAATCAGGCATTGGAATGGGCTGCCCAGAGAGGTGGTGGATTCACCATCCCTGGAGATTTTTAAACGCAGATTGGACGTGGCACTGAGTGCCATGATCTAGTAAATGGACTGGATTTGGACCAAGGGTTGGACTCGATGATCTCGGAGGTCTTTTCCAACCCAATCGATTCTATGATTCTATGATTCTATGATCATCTGTTACATAAACTATGACTGGTATGCATTATGTAAATATATAAAGACAGAGTATTTTCTATTGAAATTAACAATTAATAGTATCCAGGTAGGTGCCTAACCTGGCAAAGAGGATTGTTGTGAAATAGTAGCTTCAGAGCTAGTGTTAGTATTTCTGTTACATGTATGTGAATGTGTAGTACCTGAACATACAGTGTGCTCTGTAATGGAGCAAGATCCCTCCTTATGTTACATTAGTGGTCAGTGAGACTGGAAAGAATGATGTGTGTGCTGGCAGGGTTCCCACTGTGCTTTTGGGGCTTTCTTAATTCATTTTCTGAGCCTGGATTAGTGGGATCCCATATATGTCTTGTCATAAATTATACCAGCTAAAGCCTGCTCCGAATCATAGGTTTTCACCTTGTTTTTATCTGTAGGTGGATGCAGAGGAATGGATGTAAGACTGATGTGACTCTCTTTTCTTTGGACTAATCCACAGACTTTACAAACAAGGGATCTTCTGGCCTCCAGGGGGGAAGAACTGTCATTTTAAGGGTGTGTCTTCTCTTCCAACTGGACTTGAGCTTGCCCTCTCTGGGCACTGGGCTGTCTGGGCACAAAGCAACTCTGAGCTTGAAAGCTGTGTGATCAGACTGGCGTGGCAAAGCAAGCTGAGAGCTGTTTGCAAACCACAGTGTGGGCATTCCTGGACTAGTGTTGTTGCTCCACCAGTTCCAGAGGCATTTTGTGGTTAGGCAAAGCAGTGACCCCTCTTACTTGTCTCCTTTGAAGGCATTGGTAACCTGCTTTCAGTCTTTCAGTTAAGGGATGGAGGCATTGTGGTGTAGCACTGCACCAGTTGCCAGCTCTTTAGTGGAGATCTTAAAGGCCCTGCCAGATCAGTCTTCTGGATGAATTGAGGGGTAGCATAAAGCAGAGAAGGACTACAGGTTTGGCTGTCCATCTGTGTATAAGCTCGTGGTGTAGTCAGGCTATCTGCATCCACTGTTCTAGTCTCTCTCTCCTCCTATGGGTGAAAATAGTGGTGAGATTATGGCGCTATGAGCTTTAGCATGTTTTGGAGATTACAAGACAAGTTTTTCAAGCATCTAAAAGGAGACGAATGTTTTATGTTTGTCCTCACATTTTTTTAGTGTGTGCCCTTTTCAGGATTAGGAGGAGGTGAGTCAAACAGCTCAACAGCTGGACACTGCTGCAAGGGTTGTGCCTGTCCTTTTGCAGCCTCTGACCCCATTGTCCTGCCCACTCCTTTGCTTGTGCAAGTCACAGATGGGATTGAAAATAACCATACAAAAATGAGTTGTTTTCTACTTGTTTGATGAGCAAAATGGGCTTCCTGAAAGAATAGTCGAACACCAAAATGGTTCAAAGGAGAGAGGAGATCTTTAGAGTGTTCAGATGACCAGGATTGCTCTGGAAGCAGTGAGATTTCATGGTTTACAATGCCTCACCTTTAATACACTGGTCACTCTGAAAGCAACAGGATGAGTAGCCTATGGAAGTTTGTGAGGCACCAAACAACACTGAATGAGTTTAGAATTGTCATTTCCTATAACTCATTAGTAAAAGTATAATAGGTCTTTGTGTCTTTTGGTTCAGATATATGGGAATAGTAAGAAAAAAAACCAGCTAACACCCACTATGTGTAGGAAACCACAATGTTCCAAATGCTAAAAATGTTGCCTTTTATTGAAAACAGAATTTCAGAGTCTTAACAGGTGAGGTCATCCTCGCTTTACCTGTACAAATCAATTTGTTCTCTTAGGGGAGAGACGTTAAACCTCAAAGATATTACTGTTTTCAGTACTGCTTAATTTTCATATGTGCATTTATAAATTGTGAGGGTAATGGCAGTACTCTTGCAAGCCTTAAATAGTCTTAAAAAGTAAATAAAGTCCCAAATGTAGATGTACTGTAAGCACTGTTGTGTTGGACTTAGTTGCAGTAAGTTACTGAATCCTTCACAGATAAGGTGAGAAATGGTGAAAGAATTTGAATTGTGTCCTTTGTATTGGCATCGGGCATGAGTGTTTTAGGCTTTCTTTCTCTTTCTTTAGCAAAATTTAATTGCGTTATTTATTACGAACATCCATTTTGAGGCAATAGTTTCCAGGCATGTATTTTAATTTTGAATTCAAATAAATAAACCTGGGTGTGTTATGAGAAGGCTAGTCGGTCCGTCCCATGATTTTTAGGCATATTGTATCACTTTCCATTTCTGAATTCCATAACTTTTTGATAAATTGGATCTATAGGGTTGTGCTTTTTCTCTGAGTGCATTTGATTGCTGAATACTAAATTTAGATGTTTCAGCATGTAGTTAATCATCAGTCTTTTCCCTGATGGGAATCTTTCACTGAATACCAGTGGCATTCAAACTGGTCTAATAGTAAGTTGTGGCAAAAATACTTTCTTTTAAAAATTACCTTAAAAAAAAAATAAAAAATCACCTCTGGTTTTTCTCTGCCCGCTGAGATCCCAGAAACTCTCTCTTTATTATATAATTATATATAATTATATAATTAAATAATATATTTAATTATAAAATTAAATAAATTTAAATACAGCAGAGGATTCTTTGCCTAAAAGTAAAATTTAGGAGTGGATGAAGAAGGAGCGAGATCATGCATATTAAAAGTGAGTTATTGACTTTTTTCCCCAACAGAAGCTGAGTCATCATATTGCATGAAGTTTGCAATACCACAGGCCTGACTTGATATCATTCTTTAAAAGATGACTGTAAATATGTGGGTTTATATGAAATCACATCAGATGACAGTCTGGTATAAAAATTGTAATGTAAATCAGATCATGAAATCTGAAGCTACTGTTCTGCTATGTGTAAGATATGCAAATGTGAAGTACCTCTTGACATGTTTTCTTTAAAAGTTTTAAAATGTAAAAATACATTATGATCTTTCAGTGGGCAGACTCTTTTTCTAGTTGTCAGAGAAATAAGAGCAATATGGTTGTTATTGAAGTAATTTATTTTTCTCCTCAACAATTTTCGAGAGTCTTCAGGAATCTTGAATTATACTTTTTATAAATTAAACTTGTATTTGCTATAAGTTAAACTGTTTAATTCCTGTAAATGAAAGATGATGACCCCATCAAAACTGAAATTGTATTTAGAGGAACTGTAGGAATGTATTTATGGGAGTAATGTACTACAGAATCATGCATAACAGAATCAGATGAATGCTGGGTTTCAGCATTCTCAGTGGTCGTATGTTCTACTGTACTCCCTGTACTCTTCTTTCTTCATGTGATGTCCTGCAGAGGAAAATGTGCTTTTGAGGGGAGACTAGAGGATGATTTTTGGTCCTTGGCTATTCTGTGGGACTGTTCCAGCCATCCACTTAATTAAAATAAAGTATGGAAGAAAGTAAGGTCTTGTGTATGTTTTCAATTAGTGGGCTTTTTTTTGGTGGTTGTTTTTGTTTTTATTTTTTTTTTTGGTCAGTGGATGAAATCTCAATTATTCTAACCACAGGTGCAAAATTCTATCTTTTTTACTGTTATTTGTTTCAAGATGAAGGAAAGACTGCTTGAGGAGGGTAAATGTGATTTTGTGAGGCTGCTTGACAGCTGTTTATAGAGATATAATCTTTTTTTTTTTTGTTATAGGTGAAATTTTGAATTCTAGAGAACATACTGAATTAGTTCACAGTTTGCAAGGTGCTTGCAGTTCATCATACCTCATTAAATAGGGAGTGGGAGAAACCTGCCAGAACTCTGCCATATGGATGGCACTGCAGAAGTACAACTAATGCAAGGGCACAGATTTCCAAAAATCAGCTGCTGACAGTGGTATGAATCATACTGCTCAGTTTTGTTACAGATGGTGGTGTACTACGCTGAGGTCTCACACTGACCTGAGTGGGACTAGTCATTCTTTGTGCAAATCACAGATACAAACCTGAGCACTTAAATTTACCGTGTGACAAATATATGAAAGTGTATTATTTGTGCACATATTTGAATGTTTAGCCTGATGAAAACAAGCAGTATGATGTGTCTGTTCCTTTGTTTTGTCTTTTGGAAGTATTTTGTAGTTTATATATGTTTCACTTCTCTTTTCTCTGCCAGTTCCCGGAGATTAGTTTCTGAGCTGTGAATATTTTTTTTCCTTTAAGAGATTTTAAGGTGATTTTATGACTTGAACATTTTTCCTAGCATTTTTAATTATTCTGAGGTTAACTTTTTTTTAAAAAAAAAATCCATTCCTCTCTTTTTCCTAGAACCTTGGTTCTTCTCATATGTATGTTTTGTGCATTTTCTGTCGTTTTGCTTCATATTAGTTTATCATAAATTTTGGATTTCTGTGTTTCTTTCTCTTATTCTTGCCCTTTTGTAAACTGTTAAAGAGAATATTTTTGAATGACATCTGAGCTGCAGTTTCAGAAAACATCAGAAACATAATTTTTGAAAAAAAAACTTGTGTGTTTTAATTAGGAAAAAAGCTGAATCTGCAAATAAGAATGAAGGAACAGAAGTGTTTCTAGAATCTCCTTTCTCTTCTGTTTTTCAAAAAGTAAACCTCTTTTACATAAAGAATTCTACAGAATTATAGAACCTCCTTTCCTTCACATTGTTTTCTTTTCTTATGTGGATTGATAGGAGATGGTTGATTCTTGTGTTCAGCAGATGAGATTCACTTCACTGGCAGAATCCCTCATAAGAATACTGATTTGTTTTGTTTTGTTTTGTTTTCAGTGCAATGAAACTTCCTTCTTTTTTGAAGCACGTAACAAGGTCACCTGCAAACATCTCTGGAAATGCTGTGTAGAGCATCATACATTTTTCAGGTAAGTGATAGAGAAACTGTGGTTTCCTTAGGGCCACTACACTGAATGAGAACCTTATTATACATACAGAGTGTTGTAACGCAGGCTTGCTGTCTGAAAACATAATTTTACTTGTGGTTATAGAATGCTCTTAAAAACCAACTCCTTCCCTTTTCTTACAATGATGTGAAAGAGTGATTTTAAAATAGGGTAATTTGGTGGTTTCTTTTATCTTAGCATTCTTTTAAAAACAATATTTCAGGTTGCACAGACTAGCCTTTAACAGAAGTGTCCACAAATGTATATGGCAGGATTTAAGCTGCCATATAGATTTTTACATATTTATCCATCAAATTTTCTGTAGCATCATTGACTTGAGTGAGGCCTTTGGAATTCAGACACTACTGTTTCCTACAGTGCACAGAATTCTGGTTGGTTGGTTTTTGGTTTTGTTTTTTTTCATAGAAACTCATTGAATTTCCATAATGTTTTACTTACTTATTGGAGTGTATAAAATCTTCCCAATAGTGCACATCTCAAAGCACTTTATTTTACTGTTGCAAAAACGCCAAGAGAAATGTACAATGTCTAATTAGAACCCAAGTGTGCTTGGGGTTTACTTTAGCAGTGCTGTAAAGTAATAAGCTCAGAATCCCTTCTTCAGTGTCACTACTGTGGCATGGTGGGTTTTCCTGCTTCTGTGAAATATTAAGTGAAAGGCTGCTGGTGCGAGCAGTTTACACTTGACTCTGAAATAAAAAGGTATGTAGTCAAAAGAGGAGGGGATAAACAGGTGGCTTTGGGAGACTCTCAGCCCCAAAAGAGTCTGTCTGGAGGTAGGGATGAAGAGGAACTGGCAGAAAATAATTTTTTTTTGAGTCAAAAGTTTGTATTCTCTGTTCTTGAATTGGGAAGGGAACCATAATTGAGACCTAGCTATGTAATTTACTCTGTTGTTTTATTTTTCAAACTACACAGAGTGCCAGAGAATGAAGCAAACTCTCTGTCAAGAAAAGTCGGCAAGTTTGGGTCCATAGGTTATAAACATCGGTACAGGTGAATTTATGTAATTGTTTAAACTTCACTTCATTCCTTCTTCATTCGTTCTTTTCTCCTCTTTCCTTCCAATGAAAGAAAACCCCACCCAGACTATGACCCAAAGCAGTTCTGAAGACAAAGCATGAATCAGGGCCATTTTAACAGGCTCTCCTTGGGAGTCTGGCAGTTTGGGGACGAATGTAAGTTTCTTCTCATTCTCCAGATCCCCAGAACTGGTTAAGGTCCATAGTCAAAGTGAGAGCAGCCTTGGAAGTGCTTGAAATCAGTGTCTCCCTATAGGTCCTGAAATTATGTTCATATCCTAAAGGGGTTTTCCTGACAAGTAGGGAATACCAAAACAAGGGTGTATCTTTTCTGAGTGGAATAGGTGGCAAAATTGGGTGAATGTTCAAGTCTATAAGCCATGAAAGATGCTGTAAACTTCAGCCTAAGAGTGTATAGGGAGCACTGTTTTCACCATCACTCAAGAAATACATAGATGAAATACATGGATCATAATGAGTAAGGCTGATTAAGTAAATCATTAGTTAGGCAGATCTTTGTCACTGCCTGTGGTGGTTTGAAAAACCTTTTCTCTGATCTAGTAATGGGTTGCCCCACTGATAATACTGGACCAATCAATAGTCCATGTGCGCCCTACGGAAATTACATGCCCACAGAAACGGAAGAGAAGGTAGTGAGATAGTGTAGAAGGTAGGTAGCCATGATCTGAGCCACGAGGAGGCAGGGGGCCAGTGAGCCCCTCTGGGGGCCAAGGGCCCCCAGCCCTCAGCTGAGGCTACGGGAGACCCGGTATAGTGTCAAAGCTGGACCGGGTCCCTTAATCAAGAGCTGGAGGAGTTTCCTTACTGTCAGCAGCAGCAGAAGACACTGAAAGCAGCAGTGGAGCAGTCCTGAACAGAGACAGGGATGGCTAAAAGCCAAAAGATAGCCAGTAGCAGTGAGATAACGTGAAACTGGCTGAAAGATGCAGAGATGTTCCTGCAGGAGGGAGAGCTGGCAACAAAACAGAGGAAAACTCAACAGAGCTGGTTTGGGGTAAGACTGTATTACTTTCCCAAAAACCCGGAGACTCTCTGAAGAGGAGGGGTGGACTTCCAAACCCTTAGGGAGTCCCGAAATGCAGCAGCAGCTAGAGAGAGAGAAAGGGGCTGAAAAACCCGGACTCGTCCTGAGAGCTGAGCCAGGATGGAATGCAGAGGAGGTGGCCATGCCCTCTGCTGCTGCTGCTGCTGCTGCTGCTGCTGCTGTTTCTGTCACGCTGGCGAGCTGAGACAGAGCAAAAGAGCTTTGGTAAGACTGAACTGAAAGCTGCCTTAAATGCTCTAACCCAAGAGAAGTGAAGGTCTCCAAGGAAAATCCCTCGAAGGCTTGGACTCGGGGTTGGAATTTCCACAAAGTAAGAACAAAAATCTTGACTGCCATACTTAAATCTGCTGCCTTGGAAAACGTGGAGGACACTAACCAGTGCCACAAGAAAACTGAAATGAAGGAACTGTGGCCTGAGAAGTGACAGAAAGATTTTCTCTTTTCTTCTTAGACTTTTATTGAAGAAAAGGAGAAATTTAATATAATGTAAATATATATGTGGGTGTAAATAAACCTCTGTAAATATTATCCCCATTCCCCAATAACGAATGGTTGTGTTTTGTCTGAAAACTCTCCACATGAGGTGAAAAGAGATCAAGTCCATACCATCACTAAACCCTCTCACAGGGGAAAACTGTGGGAGGGGGGGGCTTGAACTTAAAAATTAGATTCTTGGGAGTTTCAAACCACCACACTGCCTCTTAGGAAGACTTTTGTGAAAACAAGTCTGAAAACAGTTTCTCCAGCAGCTCTTGAATTGCACTTAGTATCTCTGGTAGGTACTAATAGCTGTGTATAATAGTAGCTCTTTTACACTTGCTGTCAATCAATCAGAATTCATACTCAGCTGTTACCCTTGGATGTAAGATCTTGCTTGTAGTGCCAGTTCTGCGTCTGAGCTCGTGTGACTGAATCTGGTTTTCAAAACGGATCACTGTATGTATTCTGTAATCCAGACTATTTGGGTTATCACATTATCTGGCATGATCCAGCCAGTAGTTACAGCATTTTCATGTTATTTGAGAATCTTTTCTTTGCTTTGCATATCCATCAGCTTTGACTGTCTTCCCTCTTTGCCTTCGGACTCTGTTGTAGCACGGAAAGCAGTGACAATGTTGTGTATCTGTACACATCATTAGCTTAAAGCAGAAACCATAATCCCACCATTTGTCTGTGTATGTGTGGGGACCATAATATTGTCTTTTGGTTGGTCTTTTAGGTTTTGGTGTGGTGTTTTAATTTTTTTTTGTTGTTTGTTTTGTTTCTTGTTCGTGTTTGTTTGTGTGTTTTGAGTTTTGTTTTTGTTGTTTGTTTTTGTTTTGGTTTGGTTTTTTGTTGTTGTTGTTGCTGTTGTTTGGGGGGTCTTTTGGGTTTTTTTGTGAGGGTGGGGTGTTTTTAATCTTGTAGGTATTTCTCATTATGTGGCAGACAGTCTTCAGGAAAGCAATTTCCTTGTCTTAAGATCAGATACTTTGGAAGTATTAGGGGGAGTGGAAGATCCTGTTCCCAGATGTTTTGTTAAAACTGCTTCTGCTATTTACAAGACTGTCAAGTTGAGCAGAAGTGCTTTCTGGCTAACTTGGGAGCATCCATTAAAATGAATACAAAAAGAAAAAAAGCATTACTGTGATGTAGTGTTAGAATTCAGGAATTTTTGTCCATTAATTCTTTTACAAGCTTGAGAAGACAAAATTTCTGCAGTGCTGACTACATATGTAGGGCTATTGATGAAAATAGAATCAGTATTTAATGGAGTCTATTCACATAACTCAGGAAGTCTCCATATGTAAAACCTATATAGCTGCTTAGTACTTTCTAGTACAGTACCTGTTACTTCAAAATCATGAAACTGCAGATGTCAAGGGAGTTAATAGTAAAACTTACTTCTTTTGTGTAGTAAGTTTCCAGAAGCAAAAATGGAGTTTTGGGAAGGAATATGAGGTCTATTTTACATTTTTTTGATGAACACTATATTCTGCTTAGTCACGTGGAGAGGAACATTAAATGAGCACAAAATAGTGTATTTAAACTTAATAGCTTATGTAAGTTGTGCAGTGAAGAAGAGCCTTACTGTAGGTGGGAATCAGGACTTTTACTCAATTTGTTATAGTTTGGGTCTGGGCTAGTGAGAGTCCTTTATTACAGTTTGTTTTGCAGTCTTTGAGGTTGTCATTCTACATGGCGGAGAAGTATCCCCTTACTGGCTGGAACTGAACAATATTAAGTATGTTTTCCTGAGGTGAAAACTTACAGAAAGAATTCAGGAAGAAATAAAACTGCTTAAGAAAGTCATATTTTAGAATATTCTAAGTTAGACAAGCTCACGCTATTTTCACCTACTCCTAACAAACCAACATTTTGTTTTAGTGGCTTAACTCCTCTTGAAAATGCAAAATATAGAAGAGGTTGGCCTAACCTCTTGATGATTTTGCCAACAACTGATTCAACCCAAAATTCAGGGTAGTGCTACTCAGCAGAACCAGAGGTGGGATGAGAAGTGAATAGCAACAAAACATGCTACCCAAAACCCATACAGCTTTTTCCCAGTCTAAAGATCCTGTTTCTTTGATAACTTTTCCAGGTGTTTTTCCATGACTTTTTTTGTGTTTTCAAGTGGCAAAACGTCTTTGCGAATGACCAGAGACCCCTCAGTGCAGCTCCCGCGGCCTGACCAGAGCATTGAAAGAAGTCGCAGCAAGACTTACCCCAAAAGAACACAACAAACAGGTAAGTCTTTGTCTAGTCAGCCTGTGGAGAGATGTCTTATTTGATCTTGGGTTCATTTTGTCTTCTGCAGTTTACTCAGAACTGCTGCAGCATCCTCAAAGATCTCTCAGAATGGGTTGTGTCTTTTGCCTTAGGTTAGTGTTTATATCTAAACCTAACAGGGTATAAAAACTCCAGTTGCTGTGGCTTAAAGATGATAAAACCCAGTGTGTGTAGGTCTAACGTAAAGGCTGAAAGGGAAGTTTGAAAACAGGCAGTGACAACATGTTTCTTTTCAGGAGACCTGTCTATCACAAAAGAGTTTTATACCCGTGTGTCTTGGTTAGTATCCCATTATTCAGGCTGTTGACCCAAGGCGTCTCTCTTGTGCATCCTCAGTTCAAGAGCAGTATCCCTTTACTTTGATATTAAGTGGAACAGAAGTTAGTGCCATGCCCTTGGCAATTTTAACATGTCTCAAATGTCTGAGCTGGAAACCTATTCTGCATGCTGAAGATGTCAGGGAAAGCTGGAAATTTTTACTGGTGTTAGAGGAAGTGTGTAAGATTAAGCATGGATCACAGGAGTCATGCCTAGAATAATGGATGTTTCCTGGAATTTAGTAATAGAGATGTCAAGCTGCAGTTCTGCGTGTGATTACATGGATACGCTCAGCTTCATCTATGACAGAAGTCACACGCATTTTAGTTGAACTTGTGCATGAGTTAAGTGTGTGTATGTGTCTTAGCTGTCTGAGAAAAAACTTGTCTGGGCTTTAAAATATAAAAAATATTTATCTTTATTATGGGTTAATATACCCCTATAAACTTTTGAGAATCTATTTTTGAGCAGAGAGTAGACATACATCTCTGGAAACCTCCCATGTTTATTCTGGGTGCTGTCTTTTGACTCAAAAACAAAGCTAGTGTATTCTGCCTTTTAGCTGCGGTAGGTCTTGAAATGTAACATAATTAAAAGTATAGTCCTTGGAAAATAGGAGCAGTTTACAACATTTTTCTTTTTAATTTTTATTTTAGTTTATTTCGTTTAGTGTAAAAAAAAGATTGATTTGCTTTCTGATTCTGTTATCTTTTTGTTGTGTCTGCCAATGTAAGTGGGTGCCTCAAAGGTCAAGAAGCCATATACCCTTGAACTTAGTGACTTAGACTTTTGTTCATCTGGACTGTCCTATTCTTAGGGTAGGAGTTCAAGCCAAACAGCTTTTCCCACCCCATTAGTCCTCAGTTCTGTTGTGTGGAAATTTGTGTGGCTATTGAGAGGTAAAGTTGTCAGGTCTTAAACTGAAAATAATGTTTGCCTTAGCACAGGCAGCAAAAGTCAGTCTGTCTTGCTGCAAGGGTGTGCCTCTGTTTTGCTTTTGTGTGTGTTGTGCTTATTTTTTTTTCAGTCTCTTTGACTGAAATTGTGATGAAAACTGAAACCTTCCTGTAGTCTCTTCTGCTGATGTAACATGATGCAGAATTCTGTGTTTGCTCTTCTGGTGAATCTAAATACTCTGTTTCACTTTAAAATGAAACAGCTGCTTTGTCATCATTTTACTTATATGTAGTCGTGTAATCTCTATCACTCGCCTGGAGGTTTTGCTTTTAGTTCAACTTAATTGATTACCCATGTGTTCAAGTGTGCAGTTATTTTCCACTAAGGCAGGTGCATTATCTCAAATGATATTAATGTTAAATAAATTTGTTTCATTTCCCACTCAAAGTATGGGCTGAAGGAACAGAGCTATGTCATTCAAATTCCATCTTTCCCTATAAATAAGCATGTTTTGTCATCTTTATTTTTCCATTTTGTCTTTGGCTAGTCACAGTGATAAACCCTGAATACTCTCTCTCCATTTAAACAAGACTTTCAGAAGCTGAATGAAGTTTAATGCTGCTTCTCCTCTCTGTGTCAGAAAACGTGACAATCTATTGCATGTCACTAGGATAATCCTTCCCTTTTCACCAAAAATTGTTTTTGGATATAGCAAAGTCCATTTCACACAATAAATCAAGACTGTTTGATACATTTTAAACATAACTTGCTTAAATATATTAACCCAATGTAGATTTTATTTTACAGACTAATTTTTATCTTGGAAATTACCCTGGTGGTGTAATAATAAGCTTTATGAGTTACGTAGAAGTTTCCCTGACTGAAATGTTTGAGAGAATAATATGACATTTCTTTTTAAAATAAATATCCCTCTTGCATAATGAGGTTCTGCAGGTGGGTATTGTTGATGGTTAGTCCTTTGTTCTTGATGTTTCTTTTCTGGTATTGGATAACAGAATTAAATATGCCTTGTTCAACATTTTAAACAGGGTGATTTTAGTTTTGCATGTATTATATATTTCTTGAGGTATTTTCTGTGAAATGCCACTTGAATTAGGATCCAACTGGACATGGCTTATAATTTAGTTTTATGGAATGAAAATCAGGGTTCCATTTATTTTCCCCAAATCCAGTAACAACTTACAAATTGCTCTTTCTTCCACCTTTACTGAGCTCAGCATCTTTCCTCACTTGCCTCTTGACTTTTTTTCCTCTTTTCTTAAGACTGCAAAATAAAGTATATCGAAGGCTTCCATTCTGCAGCCAGTTCAATTAGCCTTTCTGGTTTTGGTTGGTTTTTTTCTTGTCTGTTGGTACCAATAATGGGACCAGCCACAGCAGTGTTTTTGGGGACAATTAGAACAAATGCATGACTGTAATATATGCAACTGGCACTGCCTCCATCATATAAATGTGTATGAAGTGCTAAAGCCTCCAGCCTCTGGCATCTCATTAAAATCGTTTCCCTTCTTTCTTTTCATATACGTGTTCTGGTGTTATAAACAGTTGTATGGTATGTGCTTTTTGTATCTATTCTTTCTGTCACCTGAAGGCTGAGGTTTAGCTATCTTTTGCAGAGCTAAGCAATAAAGTTTCCTTGTCTCTTTGGTCCATTAAAGTATGCTAAACTCATTAGGACTGCAGCAACTCGGTGAACCCTGGGTTAAGAGTTTGAGTAGGTGCCAAAATAATGATAGAAAGTATTATTTGTATTTTCAGTAAAAATATTTGGCTTTAACAGAGGGATTGAATACTGTGAACAGAGAGAAACTATCTTTCTTGTATAAAAGCCAGTGCTATTGATTGCTTCCCCTGATAGCATAGGCAATGCAGACAGTTTGGCTTCAGCATGGCAGATTATTTTCAGAATCCAGATTACAGTGGTTTAAAATGCAGTAACCTCCATTTTGTCACTTGCTTAATCCATTTCATATCTCAGTTGCTCTAGGGTTAGTTGAAAAATCAGATCAGGAAACTTCAATGGCTATGCTTTTATATCAGTTTTAAACTGTGTTTTTATGTTAGTGCATAGGAGTTTTTTTGCTGTATGTTCAGGCTGATGTTCAAGTTGGTGTTCAGTTAGAGAAGGGTTTTTTGTTTTGTTCTGTAAAGTCAAATAAGTGAAATATGTGTAACTTGTTTCATTTACTTTTCTCCCCATTTCATCTGAAAGAGAATTACAGTTGCATTTTGCTGTAATTGCAAACCATGAACTCAAACAAGATCTCTTGTTATTCTGCCTTACCCTCTTAGGGCAAGGCTGATAGTGTTCAGCTTTCCCAACAGTGTAAGCATTCATTATTCTTTTAGCTGAATGCTGGACATGAAAAGCTTCTTGGGAACATCCTCTCAGGGCAAACACTGATATGGCCAGACCTATTGCCATGGACCTGAGTTTATTCAGCGATGGAAAACACATTGCTCAGGGTTTGTTGTTGTTTGGTAGCTGAGGACTTGATTTGTCCCTGCCTTGTACTTTGGGTATTTGTATAAACTGGTGTAAAAAGTGCTGCCATTCTGATTTAAAAGCCAGGTGGAGAATTAGGTGTGGATATTACAATTACAGTACTGTCTGTATTATAATAATCCCTGAGCAATCACCGGCAGTCACAGTCTCTGCTCTGACTAACACACATACTGCCACAGATGCCTGTCATTACCCTACTTCACCAGCCTCAGTCATGGTAGGTAGAACTATTGGTCTGGCACAGTCAAAGTCATAAATCTTCTCCCAGAAAATTGTGAGATTGGGTTTAAAAGTTAAATTTTTAGGAAACGCATCTTGGGATGGTTTCATCTGTTTACTTATTTATTAACTTTGAGCTTTACACTTTAAAGTGTAATTAATTTAGATCCCTGGTTTTATAAAAGGATGGATGTGACAACTTCTGCATTTCATGTGTGGGGTGTGAGATATGCAAACCCTTGAGGCTACAGGCTTGGAAACTGATATGAAAAATAAATATTATCACAGAGTAGGCTGTGACAGTCCATTCATTTTTACAGGCTCTTAGTAGCACATGGTGCAAAGCATGAGCTCCTACTGCATGTTTTCCATTTGATCACACCATCTTTGCTCTCATGACTAGGTTTAAATACAAACAGATAATGTCAGTTAAATGGCTTTAGTTGATAAGAAACAGGCATGACAAGCTAACTAGCTTGACTGACTGCTATGGTTTTGGACACTTGAGTTTTTAAAAATGTAATAATCTGCTTGAATTGAATGCACAAATCAGCACTAAGATAACCATAAAAGGGAACTGAAGTGTGTGCATTCACCTTATTGGGAAAGTTCAGTACAGACAATACTGAGAGCACCTTATCTGACCAAAGGTAAACAACGAGGAAAACCTCCTACAAATGAGATGTTTGAGATTTCTGGCTATCTAAGGTATTTTGGAGAGACCTATTACCTTGGCATGCAAGAAACAGTGATATAGATAAATTATTCCCATGGTGTTGGCATTTGGACAGTTTTTCTGGAATCTGTTCTTTTATATTAAGTAATCTATATCATACATAGGTTGGTAGAACAGTATTGTAGTTAGTAAAAGGTACAACAGGTGGTACGTACTGTAAGTGTGGACAGAAAGCTCCTGATCGAGCTTGTTATTAGTACAAAAGAATTGTACAGCAAGAGCTTTCTTTTTTTAAAAAATCAAATCCAAGGTCCTTGTTGTGGATAACAGTGATATCAAACACAGCTATTACGAGATCTTGTCTTGGTAGAAACCTATTTCATATTTCTGGGTAGATTGTGCCTGTGTGCAATAGTCACTGGTATGTTGTCTTCGCTTTTTGTATCTTTGGTTTTCCCTCAAGTAAATACTTGTTAAAATAACAGAATAGAAACCAACAATGAGAAGCACCTGCTTCTTTTTTGAGGACTTACTAGAGCTGGGTGCTCCAAAAGCTGATGTGCTGAAATTAGTTCTTTTGTTTGAAAAAGTCGTATCTTTGCTGATTTCAATACTTTTGTGGACCATGCTATTATAGTGGTCCACGCTATTTTATCTTCTGGATTTGATGGCCTGGGAAGGGCAAGCTAAATGTATCTAGATGGAAAAAAATATGGTGAGAAGTCCTGAGAAATCCTTGTAGTTTAACTGTGACCTAATCCATTTTCACTTCATTACCAGTACCTTCCTCAAAGGTTGGACGTTTCTGCTTCCTGTTCTTATCTGCTTTATATTTATTTATTTGTGATTTTTGGCTGCAGACATTCTTCCGCTTTTAGAGGTCAGAGGAAGAATTACTGGGAAGTGACATCATAGCACCAATAGGAGCAAACCTGTACTCTCTTCACACCTTTCTTCTCATTGTTGACTGAGCAAGAAATTCCTTTCTGTTGACTATGATGTAATATCCCTTTGAGAGCAACATCTTCACACTTTGTCTTATGTGGAAGAGTAATGAATGCACCCATGTTAAACTTTCTTGTGATCTGGTACCATTAAAATTAAGGATGAGACACAAAAGTGTGATCCTCATACATCCTTAGCAAGTAGAGCATACACCAGATGTCTTGTGTGTCATTTTATTTCTCATGCTGCCCTGTGTTCAGTATGTTATTATGCTGAATAGATGTGCAAGCATTTATGCTGCAGGACTGTTCTGTTTTTGGCTCTTTTTTCAGGTTCTAAAAACATGAGCCAGATTACAACAAATGGGGAAAATGAAGGAACCACCAAAATTATTGCACCTTCTCCAGTGAAAAGGTGTGTATACCAGCATTTCCTTACAGCTTGTAACAGATTTCATATTGCATTGGATAGAGGAACACATTTAGTAATATTTAGTAACAGTTTATCCTGCCCTTGAGTTCAGTACCATCTGATCTGCTGTCAAAGGTCAGAAAGTGTTGCCCAGTAATTGATTTTGTAAAACCCTGATGTTCTGATGAGTGTGGAACAGGGATTTCAAGAGACACAGGGTTTGGAAACCATAAATCAGCACAAGTTAATGGGAAGGCAGACAGTTCCGGGTTTAAATAGGAAAAAAACTGTTAATGACCCAAAGGGCACTGGTCAGGATAGTCCTACTAGTCCCTCGCCTGAGAGCTGTGGGCTGGCTGTCAGAGCCCTCAGGGCAGGGGTCTTCTGTCACTGAACTAGGCAAGCTGTGCTTGGGGTGTGTGGGCAGGGAGGAGCTTAGCACGGGCTCTCCTCCAGCACTGCTGTTAATCTGTCAGTTGATTAGCCATTACACTGTTCAATTCCTACAAAACTCATGAGCGTTTCTTCCTGATCCATAGAAGTAGTGATTTGCCAGGGCTCCTCTGAATTTGTGTGGTCTGCTGTGTCTAATTATTAGTGCTGAAGTGCACATCTCTAATTATTAGGCATATTTGAAAGCAAGAGGTAAGGCTCAGTTCCAGAAAGGAGTTGATATACCCACCATTAATTTTAGGTGGAATTTGTTTACCTGAGTCAGAAAAAGAGTGATCTGACAAAAGAATGAGTCAAAAACTCAACACCTCACTTTTTTATTTAGTTACCTGAATGTCTGTCTCTGCATCCTCAGTAACCCTGACAGTTTTGGGGTTTTTTTGTTTGTTTGTGGGGTTTTTGTGTGGTTTTTTGTTTGTTTGGTTGGTTGGTTGGTTTTTTGTTTCTTTGTTTTTTTTAACTGTGTAACTCTGAACTTGTCTCTGCAATGAAGGTATGGGCTTCACAGGCTAGGTATCTGGACTGACGTCTGAAGAAGGGTCTAAAATATTTACCACAAAATACTTAGTGAATAGTGTTTTCTATTGCCTAATATTTAGAACAGTTGACCTCCAGAAGAAGAGCTGTGCTGATTTAAAGGTAAACCGGCAGGGGAAATAAACCCAACTCAAAAGAGAGATTGTAAGTCACAATAACAATTTAATAAAATAATACAATAAGTACGATTATACAGACAAACAATTGGTTTTAACCCACAAAACCCAAATATATAACCCAGCACCCTGGGGCATGAACAGAGTGATGTTCTTTGGGCCCCCTGAGTCCAAAGTAAAAGGAGAGGGGAAAACCTGTTGGTGAGAGTGCTGTTGCAGTCTGGTCAAGAGTGGTGATTGCAGTCCGGTTGAGAGTGATGGTTGCAGTCTGGTTGAGAGTGGTGGTCTACAGTCTTCCTCTCGATCCCATGAGTGGTTAAAAAAGTCCCAAGACCCTAAGATCCTCCAGTTCAGGCAGGAATGCCCAGCACTTCCCTCAGGGCAGGGAGTTCCACAAAGGGTGTGAGGACAGAGGGCACCCTCCTATCTCACAGGCCTCTTAGCACCCAGTTTATAGCTTGAGGAGTCAGGCTGCTCTGGGTAGATGGTGTAAATGGTCTGTTGAGAACAATTTCTGGGAAATGGCATGGAAGGCTATAGAATACACAGTTTTGAGTTACACCCATCCGGTGATGAACTGGTCCCAGCTGTTCTAGCTAGGACAAGAGCTGAGTTTAATTTCTTCCTCATTTTGAGGGAAATTGAATCCAATATTCTTAGAAAATAATGATTATAAGTTAAAAGAAAGTTTATGATTTTCATGCTGAAGGGAGGCCACTGAGCAGAAAACAATACAGAGGTATCTAAATAAAGGGAGGGCATAAAGAGGACAGAGCCAGTCTCTTTCCAATGGTGACAAGTGACAGAGCCAGAGGTGATGGGCACAAACTGAAACACAGGAGGTTCTCTATGAATATCAAAAAACACTTTTTTCCTTATGAAGATGACTAAGTACTGGCACAGGCTGCCCAGAGATGTGGTGGAATCTCCATTCTTGGAGAAAATTCAACAGCTGTCTGGGAATAGTCCTGGACAATTGAATCTGTGTGGCCCTGCTGGAGCAGGCAGTTGGACCAGATTATATCCAGAGGATCCTGACAGTCCCACCATTCTGTTGTTCTGGGATTTTTCAGGAGAGCAAAAGATACAGAGCAAGACGTACCATTATTCCGCAGTGCAGAGATGACCATATTGGGAGTCATGGGAGCCCTTCACTACAGCTTGTGCTCTGAATGCTGTGTATGAATTTTTACCAATGAACTGTTAAAAAGAAATGGGTAGGCAGGCTATAGAGGATGAAACAAAATAAGGGGCTCTCAACATGGCAGCTTTAAGGTTTCTGGGTTTAGTTTCTTACCTTAACAGTCTAAAAGCAATTCATAGGCAAATTCTTACTGAGTCATGGTTTTTAACAGTGTTAGTCACTTTCACCAAAAAAATAAAAGTGTTGGAAGATGTTTTTCTTTTAGAATTTGATTTGTTTTTCCCTGTGTCTCTGCCTGACCATGTTAAAAACCTTTCAGGTCTGCCAGGCTTAGTGTATGTGACAGCCAGCACACAAAATTTGTAAAGCAAATTTGGTAGTTTGCTCCATCCTGTGTAATTCTTGCATTAATTGTCAGTCATGTTTGCAAAGCCTTTTTAATCAGCTCTCACAAGCTGACTTTTCATAGTTTAACTGTATCTCATTCACTGTTGAGATACGTTGTTGATTGCACATGCATAAATTGTATAAATTCAAAGTAAACCATAAAAAAGCCCCAACAACAGTAATCTCACGTGAAATTCAGATCCTAACTTTTTCAGATACTTTGAGTGAACTCAGTACCTTTTGCAATTGCATCCCTGGAGATACTACCAGTATCTGAAGAGCTGCCATGCTCTAGCTTTCTATATGTACAGAGTGTGTCTGCTCCAAATGAATAATGGCCTAGGAATTTAATGCAGTAAATTCACCTCCCAGGTAATTGCTCTGTCTCTTTCTTAAGATTTGAAAACAGCGTTCACATTTATTTGAGTTCAATATCAGTATTGTTCAGTAGTTCATGCTGTGCAAAATCAATTGCTTTTTGCAATACAGGACTGAGACATGTTTGCCTGAGTTATTTGCTTTGTCTATAGTAAGCACATATTTCTGAGCCTGGGAATAGATTGTATGCACCTATGAGTCAATGATTAGTGGATGCAGTATTAAGAAAATGATTTACCTGATAAGGTGTAATTTAATTTCTTTTCCTGCTGACTCACTGTAGCTTCGCATTTTGTTCACTATGTGAGAATTAAATGATTAACTCAGTGACCCATAGTAACCAAAGGCTAAGGTTTAAAGTGGATTAGTGAGTTAAGTAGCCATGATTCCTTCATAAAGCTGAGTCTGTCACCTCGTGCTCTGGGCAAAGAACTCCAACTTATATCTTCCTCTCAGTAAGCAACTGTAAATCTTTTATTTTTTCCACTTGAGTTGCACTTTGTAATGATATGATGTATTAATGATTGTACTGGGCTGCTGTTAGTAATAATTCCTGAAGACCTTAGTGAAAATCAATGTGGCTGCCCAGTTCTGCATCAAGTGAACTGCTTGTTCTTGTAGAGAGATGGTCATACAGGAAAACCATGCTTGACCATTGGCAAGGACATGGGTGCAAAAGCATGCTTCAGCTAAAAACCATTCTCCAACATTTGAAGTGGCAGTCCATCTGGGAGCATTAATGGTTAGAAGCTGTAAAACTGGACACTGTGAGAATTACGGGAGTACAGGAAGAATTGGAGTATCCTGCTGGTTTTGCCCCCATCTCCCATAATTATGAGAAACTGGTTACAAAGACTGATAAATCTCTCAAGCTGGTGACTACCTTGACTGTCCTGGTACATCGCCTTTCAGCAGTCAGTGAAGTCAGCCCTTTCACATTGTTAGTTAAAACAAAAGAAAACATAAGGCTTTACTGGGCAGGGAATGAGAAGAATATGCCACTCAGTGAAACTATGAGCCTGTGGTCTGTCATTCTTTGAATAGATACTACCCCATGCCTTTGTTGCTCCCATCGTAAAGCAGGTACTGTAGACCTGGAAAAATGGTAGAGAAATATGAATAAGGATAATCAGAGGTATGTGATGACTCCTATACTGTGAGAGATGAAATAGTCTGTGATTCTTTCACTTGGAAAAGAGATTAGATAGTTGTTAAAAATGTATATTAAAGAAATATGGTGTTCAATTTGTGATTACAGAATCATCATTCATAGGGCTGCTTTTTTTTTTTTCTATAATCACAGAAACAGTGAGCAACATAGGGTGGAAATTTTGAGCCAGGTAGAAGTTTTGAAAAAAAATAAAATAATTGTTTATGCCACAGTTAAATATTGGAGCATACTTCTACCAGGCACTATATATGCCAAAAATTAAAAAAATGTTCAAGCGGGTGTTTAAGTAAATCCATGGAAGAAAGTTTCATCAACAGCTATGTGAAATAAAAAGCAGATAAAGCCTCTGATTCAATAATCTGTTAACTGCATATTGTGGAAGACTGTGAGAGCATATCATGTGTTTGCCTTATTGTTAGACTGCTTGCCTAAATGTCTGTTCTTGTTTATTCTGAGACAACACTGACCATTTTTCTTACTCAGTGCCACTATAATTATAAACTCGTAGAGCTGATTTTTTTTTCCCCCTTATGATCTCTCTTTCTAGGAGATATTTTTCAACATAGCACCTGTTTGCCCTCTTTCACACAGCAGACAAATAACTAAATGCCAGGGTGGGTCTCTGTAATGCCTTTAAAATTAGTTTTAAGAGGTCAGTGTGAGAGAAAATGTGATTGTATGTTGTGGGTTTAAAAAAATACATATATATATATATATATATACACTTTTATTTAGCTTTAAAAAGATGAAAAATGAAAACAGTCCAGAAACCCAAAGAAGTAAATCAAGTGCTCCATGGGAGGAAAATGGTCCACAGAGGTAAGGCAGGGCATGATGTCTTGGATATTGTACCATGGTAAATATGCCACAGCTGTAGGCTGAAAGATATTAATATAATATATTAGTGTGTTATTGGGGTTATCATAAATCTGTATTGCATGTAAGTAGATAGGTTCTGTCATGGATATATAAGCAATTAAAAATGAGGAAAGTATGTGTAGGAGGAGGTGATCACTGAATGAAAATCACCAGTGGCTTTCTACAGAGGTGTCTTTTGGGGCACCATGATGATTTACCCTTTATGCTCCTTCTGTAAACATCAGTAGTTTTCAGAGTAAGGACAAAGCGGTGTGTAAATACTCTTTTGATAGGATAGACCTTTTTTTTGTTGTTTTGTTATTTTTAAAGAAGAAGTGGTGTCATCTTGTCACATTTTGGCTCCAGTGCTTAAATTGCAGTCAGGACAGCAGGAAATTTGATTCTGCAGGAGTTAAAGAATGATAGGATTGAGTTTTAGCATGTCCATGCATTCTAAAGGACTGTGCAGTTTTAGACACATAAGCAGACTCTATGTTGCACAGGGACTTTGACAGCTTCTAATAATAATTCTCATTGTGATGAACTGTGGGAACTTTTCACCTGTGCAGAGCAGTGCTGTAATCAGCTGTCTGCAGAATTAGGTGAAGAAGAATGTATCCGATTTGGATGGGCAGAGGCTGTAAGGAAAGCAAAAAAAATACATTAGTTGAAATTTTGTGAGAATTATCATCTTTTTGCCACACAGTTGTGAAAAGGACTAAGTGGTGTTAGATACAGATATGTGGTTGAGTTTAACATACTTCCTCCAAAAAGTGGCAGAATGTCAGTAGACCACCTTGGTGACAGGTGACATGACAGAGGGACATATACTCCATCCCAGGCTCAGTTACACTCTTGGAAAAGGCCCTTACACTTCTGTAGGAAGGTATCACAGGTAGGAAGGTATTCGTGCAGTTGATAGTCTATATGTAATTTGTAGCTACCCAACATATTGGCTCCCACTTAGGCTAAAGCACATAACCTGGGCTTGAAGCACCTCCACACCCTTTGCAGAGGTTTGTGTGGATGAATTGCAGAGAGACAGAACTAAAATTATTTCATTTTCCTAAGCATCAGCTCTGTTATGAAGATATACGTCATGAAAGGAACATGGGAAGTTTTCATACATAGAAAACATAAAGAACAGAGGTGCAGAAAACATAAAGAATAGAGATGCATTTGAATACCTAGCTCTGGGTTGGGTAAGTCATACTAAAGCAAAGAAATTTTATTATGCTAAAAGAATATGGATACACTTGGATCTGCATTTTGTAAGCTTAGATCTGTTGGCTTGGCAATGCTAAGAGGTCTCTCTCCTACATTTACAAGAGAAACATATTTACTGCTAGACAGCAGTGCCATCTGTATTTACATAACACACACACACACACTCAAAAGCAGGTATAGCTGAATATGTACACATGTGGGTGTGAGCCTTCTTGTTTTTGTAAGCTGGATCTCAGTTAACTGGCCTATTTGTCCTGGAAATTTTAAAGCTGACTGTTTGCTCTTCCTTTTTAACCTTAGTGGACTGTATAATTCCCCCAATGACCGCAACAAATCACCAAAGTTTCCTTACTCTCACCGAAGGAACCCATCAGGTGGCAGTGAGAATGAGTCTGGGCAACCAGTGCGGAGGAGGTAAGAGCCTGGGATTAGTTACTGTCAGCTTCTCACTGTAGAAACTTGAGGTCCTGTGTGTCTGTGTTCAGCTCTTGGAGGCACAGCTGGGCCCTGCGAAAAGGGGTATTTGAGGGGCCAGTCAAATAAAAAAAACCTGAGTGAGGTTGTTTGCTTGTGTGCTGTTCTGAGTATTCGGAAAATGATGTTAAAAATATGAGAAATTTCATTATTGTCATGTGCAAGATCCTTTTAGTTGCTGCAGCTGTTCTTGCTTGGTGAACAAAAGGACTGATGGATGTCCCTTGCTTGACAATGAGCTTCCAACACAGAGCAGTGTTTAAAGTACGTTGCTTTGCTTTAACTGGCACAAGGATTAAATGAATGAGCCATAAGGCTGTCTTCAGCATTCCCATGTGTGACTTTACATTGGAGAGGAAGCCAACTGTGTAATACTTAGTGTGTTTTCAATTGGTAATGCAAATTACAGGGACAGTTCTGAAGTGATGCAGTATTTAGAGACTGTGTGTTACCTGGGATGATTTGTCCTGCTGAGAAGCCGCTTTCATTGGTGAGGCACCCTGCCTGCTGGTGTGATCTGTTGTGAAGTATAAGCAAGCATAGATATTGTGCCACATTCCTTACAGTCTTCTAAGACTGCCTTATGAGCAGCACCTGAGAGTTACATCTCCTCAGAAATGATTACCTAGCTTTTAAAGCCAACATTTGCAAAGGGGTCTCTGACAACACAGCTATATTGATTAGGAAATCTAGTTTGATACGGGGCTTTTATGCTGGTCAAGTTTCTGAACTACTCCAGACCTTTTTATATGGCATTAGTTGTCTGAAATGGGAGGGAAGAAACTCATTCACGATGTATGCTTACTGATCTCAGGTACATCAGTGTAGTTCTGTCTAAGGCAATAGAGTCGATTTATCCTGTTGGACAGAGCCCTCATAGGTGTTGATAGCAATGTCTTTCTCAAATGGATTTTGTTGTGGTTTCACCCCACCCAGCAACCAAACCCCATGCAGCCCCTCGCTCACACCACCATACCTTTGCAACTTATTGTTGAGGTGTCCTGAAAAATTCAAAAAAGCACATGCCCTATTTTCTGTGCTGAAAACCAAAACCAAACCAAACCAAACCGAAACAACAAACAAACAAAAACAAAAAAACAAAAAACAAAAAACAAAACCAAAAAACCACAAAAACAAACAAACAAACAAAAACAAAAAACACAAAAAACCAAAAACAAACAAACAAACAAAAAAACCAAAAAAAACAAAACAAAACAAAAAAAGGAAACAAAAAACTTCGTAAAATTTTGGGGTTTTTTTTAAAGATGTGTGGTTTTGTGTATTTTTATTAAGTAACTCAATGGTATTTCATTAAAACTTCCTTAATGCTGCAGTAAAAATCAAAACAGTGGTGAAGATTCAGACTTAAAGCAAAGGAGACGGTAAATATATGATCTATAGCAGCTGTGAAATTATAGTTAAGGTACTGATCATATTTTAGTTGACTACACCCCCTCCTTTCCTTCCTTCTCCCCCATCTTCTTAATTGTTTAAGAGATTTGTTGTGTTATGCCCATTTCATTTTTTTTTTCCTATCCTACTTGTGCTAAAAAGCTCTGTGGCATAGCCTCCTCAAAGCTCAGTCTTGCAAGCTACCTTTGCACATTGTTGCTACACTATGCTACAAGCAGTTTGTGAAGGTTTATTAAAGGCTTGTCTGCAACTCAAAAATCAATTCCAGAAGTTTTAGTTTTCAGATTTTACAACTGCAGATTTGTTTTTAATTTTTCAGCCTCTCTATCCTTTTTTAATTAATCTGATTTGAAAGCAAGTATGCTATAATTTGAGATGAATTGTCCTGCAAAAGGCAGGTGCAGAAGCATATGTAACTCCTCACTGTCTTCTCATGATTTTACACATTTTTTTCTGACCTTTTTCTTTTCTTTTTTCCCCTCCCCTGTTCAGTCTTGACTGATTGTCACATTCCAGACAAAATGATGGTGTGAATTTAAGTGTGGCCTTCAACAGCTTCAGTTTTTGACAGATTTTTGCCATATCAGCCTGTCATGACTGTTCTATGCTCTCCTTGCTCCTGTGCTCCTACTCACACTGCCAGAATAAGGAGACAGTGGAGTGCATTTCAATGTCAGGGACTGCTGAAACTTGTGAAGGAGGGGAGGCACTTGCAGGATGTGATTCACTGCTGAAGCACGGGAAAGGAACTCTGGCAGAGATACAAACATCTCGGGGACAATCACAGGAAGTCAGAGAAAGTGCTTACATAATTTGTATTTATTGTATCAGATAACAGATTATTTTTTTGAAGAAGGTTACCATTACAAGTTGCTAGTGGCAGTCCTGTGACAGATGTCCAGCACATAAAACTGAGAAGATTTAGTTAAGCACCTCAGTTGAAAAACCCCAGTGCTCAGAAGGGACCTCTTCCCAAAGGCTGTTCTTGCTGTATTACAATACAAATGCACAGGTTTGTTATTGTATGTTGCAACAGACCTTCTCCACTTCCTCAGAATTTGGCTACTATACTCTCATTGTAGTCAGAAATAGACTGCACCAGAATGTGAGCTTTCTCTGCCAGCTGTTTCTTTGAAATACCAAATCCTGCAACACACCTCAACCCCCCAAGCCCTCTCCTGGACTGTATTTGCTGTGTCTCTTGCCAAACTGACTATGCCTTCCTTCCTGCTCCTTGTATCAGACCATAAAGGTATACTACCTACAAAATATTAAATATATTTCATGACCAAAAAAAAGGGAATAAAGGATGGAAGGTACTTTGTAATTGTCAGAGATCAGGATGATCTCATGTGTTCTTGCATTTGGCTTAGGAAAGCACCTTTGTTTCTGTTTTTGGTATTTTGTTCAGTAAAAGCTGGTGTTTAATATTCAGTGAAAGATAATATTCTGACAGCAACCGTGAGCAGCTGCCACTCAGCTGACAGCTCAGCAGCCCTTCTGTCTCCTCACAAGTGCTTCCTGACAGGGAACACAAGGTAGTTTGATATGTAGTATCCAAAAGGTGGATCAGATTTCCATTCCTGAAAAGCTAGAGAAAGGGCTTATCTTGAATTTGATCAAATAGTTTGTTTTATCTTGCACTTTGCCTGCCATGCTGTGATTTTTGATGCTTTGGTACATTATGGGATAAATTGCTTAAATCACAGTAAGAAAACACTTGTGGAAGAAAAGAATCATGCTAATGACCCAGAGGTGTGAAAGAACACTGTTGCTTGAATGACTTATTAATGTTGAAATTAGTGGAATATTTATTAAATATCCAATAAGATTGGGGTGGAAAAAAGTATACTTTTTTTGCAATTCTAAGGCATTTATTGCTCTTAACTCTTTTATTGTGCTGGAGTGAATCTTTTCAGCGCCACCTTTTTATCTTCTTTCTTCCTTTGGGGTTACAATTTTCTATAGTTACACACATCTTTTTTTATCCCCACTTAAAGCTTCACTCAGAAACGTGTATATTTTACCTGGGAACCTAGCTATCCTGACCCTCTCAGTGCCTTTAGATTGTGAGCATGAAATTTGGGAATTAGGAGAGGTTTCTGCTTCTCCTCTGGGGAAATGTCAGTTTCCCAAGCTTATTCCCTTCAGACAAGCTGAGTTGAATTGATTTTCCTAGGCTTTAGTTGTCCTATTATTCTAAGACATTCTGTAGTTTGACTAATCTGTCTTCTTATGAAAGTGGCTTACCAAAGAGCAAAAGCAAAGCCAGGAACAGACATTCTGTTTTCCATTGCATGGACCAGCACCAATTCTAACTTCTGATATTCTAAATCCTTCTAGACTGGCTCATGTTAATATCAGTCAAGTTCTCGCATTAATTAACTGGGTTGTTAGTATAGCAGAGAAACATGTTTTTCTTTGGAGGTACTCATAGAATCAAAGAATTGTTCAGGTTGGAAAAGATCTCTAAGATCATCAAATCTGACCATTCAGAGATCATCATCACACTAAAGAACGAATGGTCCGAACCAGGTTTTGGTGAGAGTACCAGTTTTTAGGACCTAGCCCAGTGGTACAATAACAGCGTCCTGGTTTCTAGGACAAAAGCCCTGACAGCTGGTCTGTCTGCTCCAAAATGCAATCAAGGATTTAAGGGTCTCAGATAGTAGTTCCCAAGCCTTTCTCTCTGCCGAGAGCAGTTTGCCTGTAGGTAGTTCAGCCTTTTCCAGCAGTCTTTTTCAGTAATAATTAGAACCATAAAAGTCAGCTTACCCTTTGAAGCTCTGCAGTCAGAGGTAATACAGAAGTAACTGTTTTATTTTGTTTTCCTCACATGATGCACCATTTTTGTAGCTGTGCATCAGGTCATCCCAAAGCTGGGCTGGTACACACCAGTCTGTGTGTGCACTTCAGCCCTCTGTGTTTATAAAGATAGTGGTGTTTTGTCCATACTGCCTGACGCTTGAAAGATGTGAACTTTAACTAGAGGCCAGATGGAAGTTGAGGTGGTGAATAGAAAAAGACAGATCTGTGAGCTTTCTGTTTTGCTGGCAAAACCAGAATTGCTGTATCATTTCTGTTGGGCTATATTACAATATGCAAGAAGAAAAGAGCCAGAATCATACAGTTTAAAGATAAAACATTTCACACGTCAAAGAAACATACTGCTGTGGCATATTCACAAAGAATGCTGAGAGATAAAATAAAATAAATTAAAAAAACCCCAAAACAGTGAAATAATTGAAAACGAAATAGCACGCACCTGACACTACGTGTTGGGTGCACTACTTTTGAAGCAGTTGTTCACAATTAATTAATGAGAAGCAGATAATATGACTTGCAGGCGTAGACAAGCCCTCTTGAGTCTTTTAATTCTAATTTTCCATGTAATGTTGTTGCAGTGTTGCTCTTTCCCTGTTTAGCGCTGCAATAATTTTGATGTTTGTAGATAATTTCATCCTGAGATGTTTCTTTTCTCTTCTCCAGATCTCGATCTCGCTGTAACACCAGCAGTGGCAGCGAATCAGAAAATTCCAACAGGGAACATCGGAAGAAGAGAAACAGGTGACCTTTATATACTTTAGACATGGGGACATGAAGCACAAACAAATGGAGATGGACTTTACTCAGATAAACCTAGAAAGATGGAATCTAACATGTTTTATATGCATAGAGTCCTCCTGAGGCAGCTTAAGGTCTTTTTTTGAATAAGAAGAACAATAATTGCCAAAACACAGGCATACAATGAATGCCTGCCCTCCTGGAAAGAACTTGGAAAGAACTCAGTAATGAACTACAAAATCAAATATGAGGCACATTTACAAAAGACTTGCAATATAAATGCAAATAAAGCAGATAATATCTTGATAATGATATTTTCTGCATATACTTCAATATATATTCAAGTAAATTCAAGTGCAGATTTACAGAAAAAAAGCTTTTGAGGAGAAGTAAAAATAGGCTTAATGGATCTGAAACTCAAGTTGTTTTTAAATGCATGCATTTAATTGTATAATTATTTTATTTTCCAAAATGTGAAGTGTGGGCCTTAACCCAAAACGTGTATAGTGTCAACTTCTAACAGGATAGTAGTTCATATTAAGTGATGCTAACAAGTCCTGTTTTATATATTCTATTTTTTTTGTTGCTGATATGAAAAAGATGGCAAAACAAGTGATTTCCTTTAAGTTCCCTTTAAAGCTGTGTCATTCATGTTGCACTGGAGATAACATCATTGGAGAGTTATTTATGAAAATATATTTTTAAAAAGCACATAGAATTTCTTCATATTGCATAAACACAGTCTAAAATTGGACAAAAGAAGAATTGTTTGTTAAAGGCAAATTTTCTGTGAAGCTGCCTGCATGAGCTGCCATCATTTCTTCTTGTCTTACATGCAGTACTGTGAGTAATAAATGATTTTCAGATCTTTGGAAGCTCTTAGTAATAATGTTATGCTGGATAGTGCTGCAGGAAAAAAATCATTGTGATATTCAAAGGGGCTGGTATAAAGCATATCTGAGACATAAGATTTCAGTTTACTTAAATTAGAACACAGTCTTGTAAGATATTTGGCTAACAATAACCTAGTGCGCATGGAAGATTTGTTTTCCAGCGGAAGTTTGAATGAAATGCTGAGTGTAGTTTCAGTGATCAGTGTTAAATGGTATTTTATATTCCTTTCTCTTAGAACACTCTTGCCAGGTTTTTTTTTTTTATCCAGTGAAACTCTTTGTGCAGGGAGCTCCACAAACAAGTGAAAGAAATTAGAGACTGACCACAAGAATGTTTTGAGAACTTCTTGCAATATAAAGACTGAATTGTGAGAAGGGTTAGGTACTGCTAATCATTTTTTGAAGAATAAAAGGACCTTTACCAACCCTTCCTCACTTCATGGAAAAACACTTAAAATTAAAAAGAAAAAAATCAATTTATGTGGATTGTTTCTAAGTTTTTCACATTTTCAGAAATTAAGATACAGTAAAAATGTTAATGTTGCAGCATCTCTTCTTCTTAGGTGATGACTTAATATCAGACTGTATAAAAATATGACCAGATAAAAAGTCATTATCAGTGTTAAATTAAACAAATACTAAACAAACTGGAAATCTGAGACTTGTGCCTTGTAATGGTGCAGGAAATCAAACAGTCATAATGAATTCCTGCATTTTGTTAGCAGCTACAGCAGGAATATAACAAGTTGAAAGGACAGAGGCACTGAGTAGCTTTCCTGTTGGCAGAGGTGAGGCAGCCCTAACAGGGTGAAATGGGACACTATAATGAACCTTGCAACTGCTGGTAATCAAGTTTTACCTGTCACATAGATAATTTATTTCCCAGTTCAATAATCAGGTCCCTGGCTAAGCAGGAATAATATTGTTTTGTTTTATTGGAATGCAATGAGTGAGTACTCATCTTAACCAAAGGAATCTGCTTCTGATCACAGAAGAATAGAATATATTGTTCACATGATAAGAGATCACTGTGAACTATTTGTCAGAAGAAAACACATTATCAGAAAAAAACAGAAATATAAGCGAGAACTTCTGAAGGTACAACACTGGGAAAATGTTAGGGGGAAACTCTTTACTTGATGTCAATCAGTCTTTGAGGTTTCATTCCATCATATGAATGTTTTATCCAAGGCAGATATTCATAAGAAAGTGAAGAAAAACCAATTATGAGTGTATTTTAATCATAGAAGAAATGCGTTTGCTTTTTTAATGCTGTTGTCAAATTTTATTTTGTGGAGAAAACCATAATAAAGTTTTACATAATAAAAATAAAATTTTATTTTACATAATAAAATGTACTCTGAAGAATAGTTTCCTGCTGGACTACACTTAGAAGATCCATCTGATTAGAATCACAGAGTTACTGAATAGTTGAGTCTGGCAGGGACCTCTGGATATCATCTAGTCCAGCCACCTGATCCAGGTGCCCAGGACCATTGCCACATGGTTTTTGAGTATCTCCAAGGAGGGAAACTCCACCACCTCCCTGAGCAACCTGTGCCAGTGCTCGGTCACCCTCACAGGGAAAAGGAGTTTGCTGATGTTCAGGTGGAGATCCTGTGTTCAGTGTGTGCCCATCACGTCCAGTCACTGGGCACAGCTGAAATGAGCCTGGATTTGTCCTCTTTGCACCTGCTTTCAGGTGTTTATATTCATGGATGAGATCTCCCTGAACCCCGTCTTTTCCAGGCTGAATAGACCCAGTTGTCTCAGCCTTTCCACATGAGAGATTCCTCTGTCATCTTGGTGACTCTTTGCAGGACTCTCTCCATTGTGTCCGTGTCTGTCTTGTCCTGGAGAGCCCACAGCTGGACCAGAACTCCTGGTGTGACCTCACCAGTGCTGACTAGAGGGGGAAGGATCACCTCCCTTGATCTGCTGGCAATAATTTGCTCAATGCAGCCCAGGGTCCAATTTAGCTTTTTTGTTGCAAGAGCGTGTTGCTGGCTCATGTTCAACTTGCTGTCCGCCGGGACTCTCAGGTTCTTCTCTGCAAAGCTGCTTTCCATCCAGGCTCTTCTGCTGGCTTTGACATTTCTGGTGAGATTCAATTCCATTTGAGCTTTGGCTTTCTTAACCTCATCTCCACATGCTCAGACAGTGTTTCTGTTCCTCAGTTCTTGTTCTGTTCTTCAGTTCCTCCTACATTACCTGCTCCTGCTTTTGCCCTCTGTGGGTTTTCTTTTTGTGTTTGAGTTTTGCCAGGAACTCCTTGTTCATCTATGCAGGCCTTCTGGCATTTTTGCCTGACTTCTGACTCACTGGGATAGGGCTGCTTTTGAGCTTGGAGGGGATGATCCTTGAAGATTAACCAGCTTTCTTGGACCCCTTTTACCTCTTTATGCTGTGGGCCTTGTCCAAGGAGATCTTTGTAGAGGCCAGAGCCCCCTCTTCTTAAGTCCAGTGATGTGATCTTGCTTTTTGCCCTTCTCTCAGGGTCCTGAATTCCACCATCTCTTGGTCTCTGCAGCCAAGGCTGTCTTTGACCATCACAGCCCCTATAAGCCCCTTGTTGTTGTACCTTGTATCCGAAAAACAACTTTATGCTTAAATATTTTAATGGCATGTCAAGAATCAAGTCTTCAGAATTGCTTAAGAGAATTTTTCGTTGCATAAATGTATCTTGCTACCATATCACCTGAAATGAGAAAAAAACCCATCTATAAGACAACAGATGAGTGATGATAGTCATAGGGCTTTCCATTTTATCATCAAGTCTTCCTGCAAACAATGCCTAATTTTTTAGTGTGATAGCTATTAATCTCAACTGGATTTATTTCATGTGCCAGGAACATGTGAAATATGTCACTGGGATAATATATTTCTATATAGGCATAAATCAATGTGTTCCCTTGTGGGATCAAATAGTGAAAAGAATGAAAGGAAAGTTGTAATGGGCTTTGAGAATAAGGGCAACACTTTTTATTCAGAAGTATCTTTAAATATAAATTTAGTGTTTGAGTTAAATTTCTTTCAGGTTTTTTTTTTTTTCATTTCTATTGCTAAAAAGCTAAAAAAAATTACCCCCAAATTATTAGAATTTGATAATCGTATCTGAATAATGTATTTTATGTAGAGATTGTGTCACCTTGGTCATCCTTTACCTTGTTAAATGTGAGCATAGTGCCTTTATTTGCATCAGCAAAAGGGATGTTTTGTTTCTTCATGTCTCCTCTATAGTAGGGTTCTGCTGTGGTACTTCAAGTGTGCTGATGCTGCTTGTTTTAATAGCTGCCACTTTACTTTATGTATTTAGATTTTCAATATTTTGCTCAAATTGAAGAGATGAAAACCAGTGACGAACACTGTTGTATGGTTCAACAAGTAGAAGAAAGGAGGCAAAATAGAAATATGAAGTACTTGGGGATAAATAAATGCATTGCTAAGGACTGTGCTTGCCATGCATCAGTAGATGTTGATCTACAGGATTAATAGAATGAACCTGAGCAGAAATGATGTGGAACTTCCTCAGCAAGAGGTCATTTTTGGGAAGTGTGGAAGTGTGGTTTCAAGCACAGAGGTGCAGGATCTCATGTGTTCTGTGCTGGAGTATGGACCTCATGCTCTGCTGCGCTGTGTGGGTTTCTTGAGAAGGAGGAGTAGTTCTGGGTTGTTTTATGGCAAACATTCGAGTGTCTCCTGCAGAGCACAGCTGTCTACTTGACCTGTTAGGAGCTGGTGTTTGGGAGAGGTGGCAAACCCACCACCCACAGCAGGAGTGCTGGTCTGGCAGCTGCAAGTTTTCTTTTTATGCAAGTGACTGCTGTATGTGGGAGGCAGTTGGTTGTGTTTATACCATGTGGAATGATTGCTGTCTCCACAAATTGGATTATTTGGGACAAAATTCACAATTCATTACTTGTTGCTGTGTGAGTTCCTCTACTAAATCCTTAGATAGAAGTTTATGTTAATACCTGTCACCAGATTACAGATTTTAAAAGATTTGCTTAGAAATTAAAACCTGAGGTTGCAGTCCAGATGCTTTGTACCATTTGATAGACTTGTGGCTGTTTATAGTAGCTGGAGATCCAGCTCAAAATTTATTATGCATGTGAGAGATCTGATTAAAGGAAAAGCAGCAACCTGTGTAGCCAGTTTAGCCTGACACAATTCAAAACTCAAAGAGAAAAGTACCTCTGTAGTGAAGAGCAATAACATGCTTTGCATTTCCTATGTCTGCAGTGTAATCCCCTTATCTCTGTCGGGTTCTTTGTTTGTTTTACCTGTTAGTCTTTCCATTTTTTGTTAAGCTCCTCTGGTTTCTTCACTATGCAAGTTGTACCATCCTATCTGACAATCCACTTTCAGGTGATATTTTCCAGGGCTGTTTTGAAATCCCTTTAAATTCACTGCTGTGACCAAGCATATCCATTCGTTCCACCTTAGAACTTCATCCCACCACTCATATGTGCAACTCCAAAACTGTGAGAAGCATATGTGGAACTTTGAATTGTAAACACTGGCAAGCTGGCTGTCCTGACTGATTGTGGCATTGTAGGACTACATCAAGCTAACCAATGTGCTGGGTTGATAGAATTTTGACATTTGGTTCAGTTTGCAATGCATTCCAATAATGAATTCATGTATTTTAAAAAAAAAAAAAGGAAAACAAATTAAAAATAAAAGGCATAGCATATTGTTTAGATGCCCACAAACAGAGATAGGGACCAAAGCTTCAGAGGGTGGTGCAGAAGGAGTACCATGAGAGATCTGCATTCATCCTGGGCTTTGTTGCAGGTCAGGATGAAGGGACTGCCTCTTCTGAGTGGGAACTCACCAAGAGCATCAGGGGATTTTCTCTGGATCCTAGGAAGGTGTGCTGCAGCAAAGTATTTGAAAAAGTTGTAGTAGTAGAGCTTTATATCATGATGTGGGTCTGCCACTTGCTGTAGATGAGGTGGGCTGTAAAAAGGGAAAAAAATTCTAGATGTTTGGCTTGGGCTGGGAAGAAGGATTCAAGTTGTGAGCCTGTTCTTAAAGTAATGGATGATTTCTTTTTTGGCTTATGCTGTTTCTAAACAACAAATCCATCAGTTTTCTTTTATACAGTTCTTACATTTTAACTTAATTTGGGAACATTAATTAAAATTTAGCAAGACGAAAAGTTAAAGTATTGCATTGCAGGAGCTGGATTTTTTGGGGGAAAAAAAGTAATCCCAATTGCTTCTCAGAGCATCCTGCATCAGAGACCTCAGACTAAACTCCTGGTACTTGCTTTGCAGATTACGGCAAGAGAATGATATGGTTGACTCAGCTCCTCAGTGGGAAGCTGTGCTGCGGCGACAGAAGGGGAAAACCCAGCCAGATCCAAACTACCGGCGATCTAGGCACAGATCTCGATCGTATGTAACCTTTGGACCCTTTGGTGTGAAAATTAAGGCTGCTGTAGCATGTTAAAAAGCAGGAGGTGTGTTTCCAGCATGGTGGTGGCCCTCAGCTGCTGAGGAATGGAGATTTTTATGTGACTCTGCTCTCACATTAGCAGATTTGTCTTTGTGGTCAAACTGCCTTTGTTTAGTGATTTGAATTTCAGGGCACAAATAATGTAGGAAGGGCTTTGTAACAGAGGAACTCTCTCCATCACCTTGAAAGAAGTCCTGGATGGTGTTGTGGCTCATTGAGCATTGGTTCTGTAATGAAGACAGTGATTCCCCGCCTCTAGGCAGCAAGTCTGTGAAAGCATTCAGATTTTATGTGGTAGCTGCAAACATTTGCGTGAAATATGTGCACACTTGTTTAATCATATAAATCTGCAGTGGTCCAGATGAGAGCATCTGCTGATGCTTCCATGTCAAATTGCCGTTGACAAGCAGCAGTCAGTGATACATTGCATCCTGATGTCAGGATTTCCACAATGGAGCTGTACTGCTAGACAGTGCCATTTCTGCCGACAGCCAGTTTAAAATGGTGAAGTTACCAGCTTTTAAAATTAATTTTCCAAAACTAATGAAAATGTTGGTTTCTTTAATTCACAGTTTTCTTCTAATGGCATGGATTTGGTGTGTAAACACTGTGTGTTTGTGTCCAGCCTAATCTGCCATCCCGGCAGATTAGGAAGCAGCACCAACTCCAGCATGTCTGACGACAGGGCAGGCAGGGCAGGGCAAGTCAGAGCCAGTGATGTTGAAGAGTTTGGGGAGAGCAGCTATGAGGCACTGGAAGATGAAGGCAAGAGAGAGAGCAGTCTTTGTATCCCCATTCTCACTGACTCCTAACATGGATATTTTGCCAGTCCTGATGCTGATGGTGTAATGTGTGACCTCTGTAACACATCCCTTGGGTACTTCCCAATGACATCTTTTCTTAAATTTACCTTTCATGTTAAGACTTAACAAGAAACACTGTATAATTTCATTCATACCAATTGAAACTGTTATCTTCACTGAAGTTTCCGGTATTAAAATCCACTTGAGTTCTGTTTTCAGTTGCCTGTGTTGTTAAAACTCATTTCTGTCTCCAGTTCTGTAGCGTGGGGTTTTAATTCTTGATGAGAAATAAAATTTGCCATTGCAATTCCAAATATAGGAATTTCTGTTTTAACAGGGTTTGTACAGACTTGTTCACTTTCAGCTGCACAAAAGTCATGTGTTATTAGGTGTAATTGTACAATGATACATTACTAAAAATCAGGAATATTAAAACTCACTTGTATGGAATCCACAAAATACAGTTGATTAAATTTGATTTCCATTTCTTTTATTGTTTACAGAAGGTGCTGTAAACTAGGTGCTATTACTCAGTTAATAATGGTTTGATTAAATTTATAGTCAACTTTTCTTTTTTCCCCACAGGCCAAGTAAATGTCATTGTTTGGATAGCACGGGTTCCCTCTTGTGGTTAACTTGACTTACGAAATGACTTTTATTTCCCAGTGACAGTCTGAGTTATATTTAAACTACTATTAGCAAAAAACATAAATGTGAAGTATCTTACTTAACAATCAAATGTCCTAGAGGAAGCAAAGAAATAAGGAAATCCTGGAGATTTTGGATGGTTTCTCATTTCTTTTCATTATTGTTTTAATGATTCCTGTGTTCCTCTTTTTTATCTCAACCTCCAGTTAAAAAAAACACAAACAAAAACAAAAAACCAAACAAACCCTCCTTGAAATAAGCCCAAATCTCCTAAGTATGGCAGAGATCCTTCACATATGCGAGTAGGAACTAAAAAAAGTGAGGTGGGAATTCCTTTCAAAATTCTTTGAAAAAAGGTTAGTAAAAGGTTACTTTTACTTTTAGTAAAAGTACTGTTAACCCGTAGTAGGTTATAAGAGAATTTATTTGATTTAGTTTGGCTCAACTCTTTGTTTACATGACTAGATACAGGTTAGAGAAAAAGGAAATATGATTCTGTAGGGTATAGTTGTTTTGGTTTTAAATGCTGTCATATCATCATTTCAATGTGCATATTTCAAAATTCATACAAAACCTTCGTTTTAGCAGTACAGATAAGTCTTTCACATTAGGTTCATTATTGCACCCAGCTTGACTAGAAGTTTGCTCTGGAAGAGTGAAGTAGTGGCTGAAATATTTGTTACTGTACCTGGCACAGTGCATTTCATTTGTTTGATAATGAGTAATATTAGTCATTGGTGGTGGTGGTGCGATGGTGTCTCCTTGGTCTCTAGAATAAAAATATTTGACAAGAATTTGACCTTTCTTTCTCCTAAAGGAATCAGCAAATGGAGAGAGCTCCCACTTCTAGTTCCACAGGGTTTACTTTCAAGAGTTCATGTAAAACATCTGTGTAGCCAAAGGGCTTTTTCTAATTAAGAAGAATGGCCATAAAATTCCATGACTATTTAAATTTACCATTGGTGACTCAAACTGAAATATTAATAGGGGTGCAGATGCAGACACAAAAAATAATGTAGACCTTATTATTGTGAAGAGCTGTTCCAGCTTGTGCAAACAAAATAAAAAAATAAACAAAAAAACCCCCATGACATTCATCCTTTACTGAGAATTCCTGTTAGATTTCTTGTGCATTAGAGAAACTGATTAGCATACAAATTGTCCAGAAGGTATTGATTCAGATACTGAGATAGGACAATCTGAGTCCTATATATCACAACTGTGATTCTAAAACAATTCACAGTAAAAAGATGAAAACAATGTGAAAGGGGGATTGTGATCTGGCTTTAAAGATTTAACAAAAAGATTGCTTTGTTTTGGGCTCTTAAGAACCACACAAACATTAATTTCCTTTGTAGTATATGCAATACCTACATTTCATCTTACATTTCACCTTTCTTTTTGTAAGCTTTCCATCATTCCCTTTCGTAAGAGCCTTTGGAAAGCAAATGCTTTAATTAAGTTAGTTTTTCTGTATCATATTTCTTTATATTCTTTGGTATGGAGTTAACCTGAATATGTACTGTAAGATTATGTTAGTATGGTAACACTTCTTAAACAGATGGGAAATTAACTAATTACAGGATGCAAAATCTAAAAGCAGTTTTCTCTGGCGAGTCACTGTATTTAGCTTTTTTTTATGGGATGCCATTTGCTAAACTGGTATTATAGAGCAAAGTCTTTCTTATTAGTGTAGTTGTAGGGATGGGCAAAGGGAAGGTGGCAGAGATCACAGAGTAAAGTGCTTGGAACTGGTCACAGAAAGCAGCAGGCACAGGTCCTAGAAAATGAAGAAATGAAGATGACTTTTTATTTCATCACTCTCCACGATGCCTGAGAAATTAATATTTTTTACTGTAGGTGAGGCTTCACATGGTATTTGTTGTTACTTGTGACATGCTGAACTGCTGTATTTCCATGAATGAGTAAAAGCCATGAGCTGATCAAATAGGTCAGTGGTGTGGACAATACCCTGCTTCATGTGGATCCTGGGTTTGGGGTTGACCTTAAGGCCTGCTTCCTCAGGCAAACTAGGGCTTGTAAGCATTACAAAGCCTCCCTGGAGAAGCTGGCATTTTCAGGGAGTTTTCTCATCCCCCACTGCCAGATTATTCAGCCTCAGAAGAGGATGCCTATCTTCCCAGCCCCAGGGTGAATGCAGGGTTTGCAGCTGCTATTTTGTGAGCAAGAGGTTTCGTGGAAGGAGAAATCAGTTTGAAACTGAGGGGTGAAAAAGGCTGTTAAATGCCACTGCAGGGCAAAACACTGCATCAGGGAGTTAAAAACAGTGTGGACAGATGTAAGAAGCCGAAATAAATGAAAAACTGGAGGAGAGGTAGAAGTGAAAATTGGAGAAAACTAAACAGCCCCTTGTGGCTGTGGCTGTTGCCATCATGAGGACCTGAGGAGCTGGAAAGGACAGCAGTCCTTCAAGGACCGGGGCGAATGTGTCATGCTGCCTGGAAAGCCATCACTGCCTTGGAGCTTGAGAAGGTTATGGATTAGTTAATTTTAGTCCTACTAGGGAAACACAAATGCTAGGTTGTTTTTCATCCTTCGTTCTCTTTCTGGTATTTATAAACCAGTGAACTAATATCTCCCAGTACTTCTGCACCTGTAAAATCCAAAAAAATACCCCCAAACATTACCATCTCTAAATACTCTGCCTTTACATCAACTGTAAAATGTTTACGGCAGTGTAGATGTCTCTGAACATTATTCCTAGGCTCAAGTCAGGCAAAAAGCTGAATATTAGTAATGGTGAAATAGGAAAACGTTGATACAGAGAAGTTTAGAATTATTTCTGATACAACTCTGTCACTGGTTGAGGGAGAACCAATTTAGTAGATGCTAAAATGCAGAATTCTGCTGTTCTCCTTGATCTTCCTCTAAATTTGGATTATATCATTCCAAAAGCATCTTTGAATATGATTGGCCCTTTTGTTTAAGGAAAAGAAAGCAGGCTGTATCACCTCATAATGTAAGACTTAACCTGTGAGAAACTGGGAGCATTTATACGTGCTGAATGTGTCTAAAAGTTGCATCTCACATCTTAGATGGTGTGGAACCATGTGACTGTCAACACTGAGTTTATGTATAAAAATGCCAATGAACAGTTATCTAATCTCTCCATGCAAATGTAGCCCCTGGCACTGTGTATTATGTATTATTCTGAATGGGTTTTGGTGAATTCTAGGTGCAGCTTCAACATCAGCAGTGGTTTTGTACTAACCCTTCAATAAAAAAAGATAAGAAAAGTAAAAATAAAGGGGATCCAGTTAGAACCAGCATACTCCATAATTCAGTGGAAAATGTGACATTAGGCTTGCTTTACCATGTATCCATGTCTGCAATAGGGTTTTTTTGGTAAGTACTTCACCTGTGAATTAAATGCTTAGTAGAATCTTTGTGTGCACAAATATGCATAGCTGGTTTGATTTGTTCATTGTTTGGTTTTTTTGTTTTGTTTTGGACTTTGAGTTTTTTTCATCCTGGATAGCAAATGTAAATAAAGTGAGCAGAAACCCTTCTTGGAGATGACCAGAAAGCAATTGTGATTGCAGTGAAGCAGCTGGTGCTGACTGGGAATGGCCAGGGATTACTGGTGCATCAGCCTTGTGTGTCCAGTCCCTCCTTCTGCCCAGAAAGGTCTCTGTGGGCCACAGGACATTTCTAAAGGCCTTTTACTGAAGTGTTATTCCAAAACATGTTTTCCTTGGAGGAATAAGGGGTGGCAGTAGTGAGGCATGATTTAGCTTGGGAAATTCTGCTGTTGTTTATATTTTATGTATACTCTTGCTGTAGGTTAGTGGAACTGGAATTGTGATTGAGAGCCTGTCGTTCAAGAAATTACAGTTGAAATAAAGCAATGAAGTTTAATGCGTTTTCTGAGATAAGAAACCTTAAAATGGAACTCATTGGTGGATTCTGAGATTACATTAATCATGATTTCTGTGCAGGGTCTCTGCTGTTAAAAGTTACTAGAACAGCAACATCTCACGTTATGGTTTTCACAGTTCAACCTCTGTTGTCTTTGTTCATATTTATAGGAGAAGCCCAGATGTACAAGCTAAAGAAGAACTGTGGAAACATATTCAGTAAGTACAGTCCTTGTAGGGTCTGGGAGATGCTTGGTTTTCCTCTAATGTAATTATTCACATGCCCTGCACTGTGGCTATAAGGCATTACATTCTCATTTAGTTATATGCCACAGTAAATTATGTGTGTGTTAATGACCTGCTGTGTGTAGAAGATACTGCAGATCACTGAATGCACTGAATACAGAAGGCCTTTGTATGTAAATGAATTATTAAAGAATCTCGTTTTAGAGATTTATTCTTCTGTGGCTTCCAAAATATCTTTATTTGTAATACTGACACTTTTAGGACGAGACCCTATATGCTACAGAACTACCCATTAGGCAGATATTTAGTTATTCCTGAGCATATTAATTGTTTAGGATACACAATGTTCATCATAATGTGAAGCAACAAGATCAGATTTGCAGGGAGGTGAGAGGAAGGTGTAACAGGATGCAACATACGGTTGAAGCAATCAAGGTGAAGTTACCCTTATTTCTAAATAGGTTTCCTGTTTTGATGTCAAGATATCTTCAGGGCTGACAACAGCTTGTTTCAGTAGATCTTTTAAGCCCACTAATAAAAATAAGAACATTTTTGCACTTCATAGTTGCTGTTACATTTTTTACTTATCCTTTATAGGAAGGAACTTGTGGATCCATCTGGCCTATCTGAAGAGCAGTTGAAAGAAATTCCATACACTAAAGTAGAGTGAGTTTATGTCAGGATTTTTCTTTGTGAATGTAAAAGCCCATTTTTCTTGTTTTACTGTGTACTCTGTCATATTGAAAGAGAAATGGGTTTACACATAATCTCTGAGCTCTTATCTACTCCAAATGCTCATCTAGAATGGGTTGGATGAGGTTACTTAATAATCTTGAAACCTAGTATTTGCTCTTTTTAAAACATGAAAAAAATTGTCTTCATCTCTCTCTCTCTCTCCCACACACTCGTGAATCTGTCAGATCTCTGTATGTTCTGTATGTCTCCCGATGCCATCCACGGATATTTTTTATATTATAAACTACAGAATCAGAGAGAATTAGATGCAAACAAGCAAATCTATTTATTTCCTAAACTTTTTCTTTGTTTTGAATATTTACTCTGCTCACAAGGCACTGTTTGACCTCTGCAACTCCCTTCCTGGCTTGTCATGGGCAGCTTCCAGGGCACAGCTATTTCCTTGAGAGCCAACACCTATTTCACTGCGATAATTGCTCATTTGGGATACCATGTGTCAGTGCAGCTGCATGTGGCAGAAACAGCATCCCTGTTTATATTATAATGTGCTTCCACAACACCACTAAACAGAAAAGGCTGATGTTAAGGATACTTTAGTAAAAAATGCATTAATTTATACTTCATGCTGAAATATGGGCATGCCAGTTTGTGATCTCTGCACTTCTAAAGCATTGAATCCCAAGTACAGGCTTTTTTAAAAAAAGCATCAGCCTTTTAAATTCAGCCAGTGCAATAAGCCATCTGTTATACTTTAATAAGAAATGGGAGAATCTCTCAGTCTGCAGCTGAATTTATGTTTTGTGCCAAAGATCTGGTTTACTAACCTACTGCTGTGAATTCTGTGTCTCTCTCAGGACTCAAGGTGACCCGATCCGCATTAGGCATTCACATTCCCCTCGAAGCTACCGTCAGTATCGGCGGTCCCAGTGCTCTGATGGTGAAAGATCTGTCCTGTCTGAAGTGAAGTATGTGAATGTGGTTATTAGCAATGCAGCCCAAAAGCTATTCAAAGATCATGGTGATTAGAAATAACATAAATATGGCTGATAGGTGGCACAGGATTCAGGCAATCCTCTAAATACTATGTCTTCTGAGCCACATGAATGAAACAACCACAAAACCATTTTTGGTCTATTCTGGGCCACAGTGGCTTTATCCACTTGGAAGGAGGAAAAACTGAAAAAGTTGAAATAAAACCTGTATTTACCTTTAGTGGTAGGTCATGAAGTTGCCTAAGGCATGAGAAGTCATGAGTTGCCTTCCAGATTCCTTCATCCTTAATAGAGTTAAGATATTATCTGTATTAACTCTGTAATTTGTTTTGTAGGAAGTCTAGTACAATTCTCTTCATCAATGAGTGGATCAGTCTTTCCTAAAAGACTGAAGAGGAGTGATGAATGGAAAAGTGACAGCCCCATTCTCAGTTGTAGTAAGGCCTTAAAAATATAAAAAGCAGTTTCCTGATGATGTCACCCACCTGGAAGGCTAGTTTTAGCTAGATAGCACCCTGAAGGAGGTGTAGCTCATCCGTGATTTCAAATGAGACTCATCTTTACTCTGAGGTGGTGGGCACATGTTGCCAAGAGAAGCTGTGGCTGTCCCATCCCTGGAAGTGTCCAACGCCAGGTTGGACGGGGCTTGGAGAAACCTGGTCTAGTGGAAGGTGTCCCTGCCCGTGGAACTAAACGATGTTTAAGGTCCCTTCCCCAAACCATTCTAAGGTTCTCTGATCTTGCATGAAGTTGGACTGCTTCTGTAGACCAGGAGAAGACAGGGATGGGGTGGCCTGTGCCCTGTAGATGCCCACTGAGGATCAGCATGATAGCTTTCAGATATCTAAAGTCAGGTGACAAACCTTTCAGATCTATGCAGCTGTCTGAGTTGGTTTCATTATTCTTCTTCTGCACACTTATGTTTTACTTCATTAAAGCAATATCCATTTTGTGGTATCGTAATTCCAGTGTTAAAACTGATCTGGTCCCTCCACTGCCTGTTACACGATCTTCAGATGTGAAAGGTCCCAGCATCCAGTTGACTCAACAGGTTAGTAATTGTAAATCCTTTTCAATTTTCCTTTTTTTTTTTTTTTTGGAGGGAGAAGTGGGGCTTTAGTGCTTTATTTAAATTAAGTCTTGTTTTTCACTGAAAAGTAAAGCTGGCTGTGATTTTTTTCAGCAGCAGTATCACTTGAATTTTGCATTTTTATTTTATTTACAGTTTCTTGATATTTCAAAATACATGTAGTTCTGTAGCATATGCCCCTGTGAACATCTGTTTCTGCTGCTGGAGAACTCTTTTCCAGCTTGAGTTTCATACATTCTTAAGATGATACTCTGCTCTTCACAGAAGGAGAACTTAATTTCAAAACTTCTTAAACTATGCAAATGGGCTTGTGATGCAGATATAATCACAACCTGCTATCATTTTTTCACCTCTTTTAGAGGTCTTCGTAGAGTTTTGTTGCTTGGGCTTGAAGCATTTTTTTCTTTTCCTTTTTCTTTTCTTTTTTTTCCCTCCTCAAATACTGAATATTTTTTTAGGTTATTAGGTTATCTAAAAAGGACAGAATATGTCTTTTCTAGATGCAATCACTATCTTTCATCATATATTATACTACTCTGTCTCTCTTCTTTGATAGTTTTGTTGAGCTTCAAATGTGAGAAGCGAATTCTGTTCAAAAGAACTTGCAGGTGGGCACGCAAAAGGAAAACCAAAACATGGAAGGGAGAATTCCAGATACCTAACTTCCCATATCAGTCATCAAGTCTGTTCATCTAGCGTGTGGATATACCAAAACTGCATGCTGATACTGTATGTAGTGTGGAAACTGCACAAAATACAACTAGCAAAACATGTCCTATTTTATCTTGTAAGCAATTAGAATAATTTAAGCTTGTACGATTTTAAAACAATAAACAGGTATTTTTCACATTAAGGCTAGTTAACACAATACCTATTCTTTGATAGGAATTAAGTTCAATGATACTTCTAATTTCTGCATATGATGGAAACTGAAAAAGATGAGCTGTCCTTGATGTTTCTGTAAGGACTTGCTCCAACAGTGATGGGGAAGTTGGGTTACTTAAGGCTAAGCACATTTACATGCTCTGTAGAAATAGGTAACTTGTTCTGTTCAAAATCCACATTGTCTTATTTCCATTCCTATCCAATAACATGTGGCTTAAATACATGCCTTATGAGGAATTAAGGTTAAAATGTTCAGTGTCCATAAACAGCTCTCTTTTCCTTCTGCCCCAGGCCCCCTCACAACAGTGGCCATTAATTCCTTGTGAGTCTTTGCTTGCAGTGTTTTGCTAAATATCAAATAATTAATTATGGCATTTCCTGAATGGGCAGTATAGCACAGAGGGGCAGCAGCTGGCAGGAGGCAAGAGGGAGAAAATGTTCTGTTTGATCAAATAAATGTAGAGACTTCAATATTCGTGGCGTGTGTGTGTGTGTATATATATATATGTAAATTGCTGTATCCATAGCCTAAGGCTTTCATAGCGACAGTTGGCAAAATACAGTATTGAAATTCCTCAAAACTTTTTCAACATGTTTAATTTGTTCTTTTCAGAGACTGAACGGATCTAAAGACAGTCTAATAGAAGAAACATCTCAGCCATCCCCTAATAATGTTGATGGAAAGCCCACCACCAAGATCATAAAAACTGTACAGGTGTCACGCTTCAAGGTGGAGACTTGACTGGTGTATTGAAGATGGTGCATGGATTTTAGTGTTTGAAGCTGAGAATTTGTTTATGTGTGCAAGGGAAGGAACTGACATCGACATGGTAGTAATTTCTTCAGGTCACCTGGAAGTGCAGCCTTCTTACTGGGAAGACCAAGCAATGCTTTTATCACTGACTGGATTTCACATTCTAGTGATGTGACTGATTGGGGAGAAGCTGCCTGGTAGACAACCAAAAAGAAAAGTCGTAGTAAAACCGAATGATCAGCAGTTACATTTTCAAAAAATGAACAAAAAAAAAAAAAAAAGAAAAAGAAAAAAAAATTGCTGCAACAAAACAGGCTTCATGGTCTGCTATGTAAGTGAATAGCCTTGTTCCAAAAAGTGACTGTTAATTGACATGATCAGGACCAGATTCTTCAAGATAAGTAAAACAGTCGTATTTTTGGTCGATTGTGCAATACAGTGTGATATGGGGAGAATTAACTTCATGATTTCATATGGGGATCAACTTATGTCCTGAGACATAAGGACTGATAGCTCTTACTTGGTTTGTTTTAGCCTAGCACAATAACAGATGTCATATTTTTATTACAAATTTTGAATCAAAAATAACAGACTCAGTAACACTCTGCAGCAGTGAGTTCCATAGATGATACAGATTTACTTTCCCTTGGCAGTTTTAAGTGTTCTAAATTTTGAATGTCCTTTTATGTAGAGGGACTATTTAATTGAACATTCCATGTTCATGTAGAAATGTAGAAATACATTTACCAATTTATAGTAAAGCACACTGGAAACAAACTGGAGAATATGTACTGACCCACTGTATCAAGTACTGCTTAGCAAGGCACTTAAGTGCTGGTTAAATGAAACTTGTGGAGTAGTATTTAAGACAGCTAGGAAATAGCCTTTTTAAATTTTAGTTTTTAACTAGATTAGCAAAATCTGCCTTAATCTCCTATCATATAAAATAATCTGTCACTTTTCTCTGAGCCATTTCTACTATGTTAAAATGACAAAGGCAGTATTTCAGGTATGATAACTATAATTGTTCTTTTCTATTGTCATGGTAGGAATACTAAGTTTCAATGATGCTGCACATTGAGTGGGTTATCTGCCAGTATGTATCTGAAGTGATGCCTGGCTCTTCTCTTGTCCTATCACTCTGTACAAATATCTGAAAGTCATTCCTCTGCCTCCCATTTGTCCACAGTCAGCACATGTATGAGCCTTCTGGTGCTGCGAACTTCTAAGCAGCTTAGCAAAGTCTTTGTTTTTTTGTAATTTTTGCTGAGTGTAATCCTCAAACGAAATACTGAATTTGTCAAACAGCATTGTAAATGGCCTTAGTAGCTCGTGCCTTTCTACATCTATCCTCCTTACACTCAACTCCCATGACCTACAGTGATTACAGTGATCCTGTGTTTTGTAGCCTGAGCAACACTGTACTAGGGAACTGCAGCCCTGTCAGGAAAGCAATACTGTTTGAGAACTGGAGTAAGCATAAGGGATTACCCATACACATTTGAACTAGCAAAACTAGTAAGTGAAGCCTTGTATGATGTGTTTTATTTTCCACTTCATTTTTTGATCCTTTTTTGTTTCATAGTCTGAGGTGGCCAGGTAGCCATGGCAGTAGCCGTACAGTTCATGTATTCCTATCACAGTATAGATTGGTCCGCAGGTTGGGAAATGCTGCAGTCTACCAGGGAAGACGAATTTGCTCAATAAATACTATTCTTTGATCACTTACTTTGGACAGTTCTGCTTCTTCAGCCTCAGTGAACAAATCTAAGGGAAGGAAAGAGTGAAAAGTCCTCTGTGGTAAAAATTCTGTTATCATGGAGGTTCTTCAGAATTTTCTGAATTTACTACAGATTTAATCCTAGAACATCATTGGGCTTGCCTTAAAGTATTCGCTCATTTTTTTTAAGTCTGTAAAATGGTTTTATTGTCATTGCTCCAACTTAAAGTAATCCTTTAGGATCTATTTATGATCTTGTGTAGTATTCTCACAAGCAACAGTTAAAAAAAGCACAAACAAAACAAAAAGAAAAAAACCCACCCCAACCCCCCCAAAAAAACACCAAAAAAACCCCCACAAGCCCATCGCTTAATCAAGAGCATCACAGTCTTTCAGAAGACCACTGAAATATGGCAAACCACATATGAACTGGTTACAATGTCTGCAATGAAAGTCACTCCTTGTTTCTTCCAGAAGGTGTTCCAAGCTGCAGCATTATACACTTGCTTGTAGTTTGCTGCTTTCTAAATCATTACCGTTAGTTGGCAATCCCTACTCAGGCACAGGCAAGTAGCAAATATGTATTTCAGCAGATATGTGTTGTTACTATTTGAGAATTATCTGTACATACTGTCCATATCTTGTCAATCTTCAAATATTGATGAAGAAGAAAATTACTTTTAAGGTTTATATCCAATCTCATGTTTTCCTGTATGTTGTCATCTGCCTGTGGGCTTTTGTGTGTTATTGCTGGATACCATCAGCCAAGTGTGTGGCATTTTACTTACTCCACTACATCATAAAATAGGCTTCTGTCTAGTGTAATAGTGAAAAGTTTCAATTCTCAAGTCATCAGAGAATTGTTTTGTAATCAAGCCAACTTTTTTGCATTTAAATGAGAAATTTACGGACAAAGCCTTCTTCTCTTCAATGAGACTGTGTAGGAAGCAGGTTTTAGCAAGTCTAATGTCAGTCTAGGACACTACAATACAGTTTTGTATCCACAAAGGAAAGATTAAGCATATAATGCCTGTATTACACATTGTCTGTGCCAAAACAAGGCAAAACTTGGGACGTCACTGTCAGCTAATAGAACAGAAAAGGGAATTTCTTCCATATGTGTGAGCCTCCTTTCCCTTCAAGCTTCTTCTCCTGTCATTTGAGGAAAGGCACCCTTTTTATGATTTTTTTATTGTTGTGAGACACCTACAAGTGATCAATCACTGAAAGCACTTACTGTGTCACAGCTGTGCTTTGTAGATCTAAACCAGCACTACTCCAGTGACTGACCTCTTACAGCTCTGAGCTACACCTTGCCCTTTCCACTGTTGCTATCCTTCCCCAGCACTCTTGGGGATTTCACTGCCTAGAGGCATGGATTTTCAGATCTGCAGTTTGGATGTCAGTCCAAAATGCTTGTACCTCCTGATGGGTCAGGTAAAGAGTCAGGCAAAAGACACGAGCCGCATAACTGTGTCAGGCAAAATGTACCCTGGGGTTGATGCTACACAGACCTCTACTCGTTTGGACAAAAAGGACTGATATTTGAGATATTCTCATCCTAATTCTGCTGAATTGATCTCAGGCTGACAAATATAACTTTGTGCCTCTGCATTTATCTCTTCTGAGACGTCTATAAGTGCTAAGCACTGGTAAGTTACAGAACTCTCTCAATAATTAGCAACAACTACAACATAGATTAACCTTTTGTGAAACGTGTTTTATACAATAAGAGGGTTTGCAACCACAACACAAAAGCATTTTTGTATATCTCATATTGGTTCCTTTGCTTAGTTAGCTGGTTTCTTTCATTAGGGGCTACCCTTGACCTGCTGTTTTCTACACTGCACCTATTTACCAGCATCATTTGCAACTTGTATTCTAAACAAGTTCATTATATTGAAGATGTTGGTTGGAAAAAAAAGTCAATACCATTTAAGTTGCCAAATCCATTACCTTTATACAGGTGAATAATGAACCGAATAAATAGTGTGTTTTCTTTTGGGAAGGTCTGTTTAATTCAAAACTCCCTAGAAAGATGTTTGAAAACAACATACATAAACATATCAATGTGATGCATATGTTCTATGTACATTAAGTATTCATGAAGCAACTGTGTGCTTTATTTTAAATTGAGGTTGATAGATGACTGTGTCAATACTCGTGTCCAGGTTATTTAAAAGTCAAGTAAAACTTGAATTTTTAGGGCATGCCATGGTTGCCTGTGTGTGTTATTTACGTTACACAAAGGTGCAAAGCCTTCAGAAACACAGATTCATTTGACACCACCATCTGGTAAAAACAGGTGTAGTACCGATTAAAATCCATTTGAGGATACAGTTACTCCAGATTAAGTATTTGTCCTCATAGCAGGAATTTGTCAGCCCAAGTTTTATATTTCCAGTGTATATCCACACTACCGTTTTCTTACCTAAAAATCACCGGAAAAGCAACAGCAGACTAAGCTGTCAAACCAAACACACAGACACTCTCTCCTTTATGTGCCTGTTTTCTCCCTCTGTTTGTCTCCTGAGTAAGAGTTGTGGTGGGTTGGCCTTGGCTGGACACCAGGTGCCCATGAAGCTGCTCTATCACTTCCCCTCCTTAGCAGGATGCGGGAGGGGAGAGAAAATCAGATGTAAAAAAACCTTGTGGGTGAAGATAAAGGCAGTTTAATAAAACAAAAGCAAAAGGCACATGGAGATGGGGAAAGAAAACCCAACCAACCAAAAGAACAACAAACAAACCCAAAAGATTTGCTTTCTACTTCCCATCAGCACATGACATCATCCACTTTCTGGGACTTCCAGTACACATAGTACATTGCTCCAGAATAGGAACATCATAAGAATTAATGCCCCTCTCCCCCTTTCCTTATCCTTTAACTTTTATTGCTGAACAGACTCCTATGGTTTGGAATATCCCTTTGGTCAGCTGTCCCAAACAAGATCTTGCCCCCTCCCAAGATTTTGCCCACCCCCAGCCTACTGAGGGGAGAATGTTGAAGAGACAGCCTTGATGCAGTTGCCAAAACACTGGTTATCAACACCATTCTAGCTGCCAAGACGGAGCCAAGCACTACGAGGGCTGCTGCAGGGAAAATTAACTCCCTCTCTACCAGACCCAAGAGTGAAGAAAACCACTGCCCTCCCAGCTGGTCACTATGTAAATGATACACTTCACTTGCTGCAATGTTAAAATCTCAAAACCAGCTACAACTGTGCATGTATTTTCTCAGTGAGGCTACCAGAACGTACTTCACATTCTTCATATACTACTACCATTAGATTTACTACAAATGAGCCCCTTTGCTGGGCAGAAGGGGCAATGAATTTATGTTCAAGAATGCCCCCACAGATAGAGTGTTTCCATTTAACAGAGCAAGTCTTAATCTTAGGTGCAGGGTGTTAAAACGTGAAGAGTAATTTGGAACAAGGCAGTTTTCTTTCTGTGCACACCTCTCAAAAGTTCTGATTTGCAGCTTCTAGTATGGAGAGCCCTCTTCCAGAGAGGGCCGGAGGCATGTAACAGGAAGGAGGGTTGGTACAACACCTAGCTCACAGATCTTTGTTCTCTTGCTCTCTTAAAACCACCTCAGAATCTTCTCTCCCTTTTGCTGTTTAATACTACTAACTCCAACAATTGGTCAGACACTGTATTCAGGTAAAACAGAGGAAGGGGGAAAAGAAAAATAAATAAGTAGTCTGACATTTTATTCAAGGGTACAATCCAGTTAGCCACTCATACAAAATAAAAGGCAGTCCTAATGCTTAACACCATATTTCATGTTTACCAACATTACTATTTTAGTAATCTGTGACCCTTACACCCACCTATTCCTCCCTCTACCTCACTTTTTTTCACTTTCCACCCCACAATGAAACCTGTATTACACACTGAAGCTTAAGGTTCTACATTTTTTCCTGTTGGAAGATAATTAACATTTTAGATATCCATCATCAAAACCTGGCATTAGCTGTTGCTCTCTAGAGTTGTGTTTTTTGTTGTGTTTTTTGTTCTTTTGTATAAAATCTTAGAAGCTACTCCTGTCAGTCTTATACTTCTAAGAACAAAGACTCATGAGCAAAACTCCTGAACAGATGGTATCCTCAGGGAATGTAATCCCTAACAGAAATCCTAAACTTTCAAGTGCATCCAGTAATTACATGGTGGATCATAAAAATTAATTACTCTTGTCTAAACCTCCTTCCTTCTTGACAAACCAAAAATGAACTTAGGCTTAGACTTAGTATTAATAATGTGCTACATTCAATACTGAAAAATCAGACATTGGAAGATATACAATTTCAGCATTTGCTCTTTTTTATGTTAAGTCTTCCTAAAAGAACCCAAGCAGCATTTCCAGTTGTTGTCTCAAGAGTATTTCACTCTACTTCAAGTTTAGTTGAGTACCATATTACAGAGCTGATCAAGGTAGTAATAAGCCAAGATTACAGCTTTCCGTGTTGTAGAGATACCTTTACTGCTATTTTTAAACTCAGGTTTGCTACATTTGAATTTCTACTTTTGCTCACCACAATACAAATCTCAGCTAACCCTATCTCTGAGTACTATAATGGTTTTACATCCCAACCACTTCGCAGCTCCCAGAGTTTGTTGAGTCCAAAGGGGTACATTAGTATCGCAACAATAATTCAGAGGAAGTCAGGACTGTCAAACAGAAGCAAATGCTATTATAGCTTGGGAAAGGTAGAAATTCTAAGAACAGAAACATAAATCTTCATTTTTTTTGTCTACATAAACATTACCAGACACTGCCCCAGTAAGTTAAAAGTGACTTGTATTACTACATGCAGGCTTAATAGTCCATCTTTTAAACAGTTTTTTGTTTCTTATGGATTAGTGCTGCACAGTCAGTTGGTCTCAAGCTGGTTCTAACAATTCTTCCTGGGGAAAAAAAGTAAACACACTGTGAGACTGGACATATGGTAGCACATAACTGTTTTCAGTAACATCCTCTAAATCTGTGAGACTGATACAAAATTACAAGGATCAGCTTGCCCCTCATCTCTTTGGGAAAAAAGTGAAAAACTGGAGTGTGCAAATCTAATTTTTAAAAAGCCTACAAGCGATAGGAGCTCTTTGCCCACCTAATTAAGAGTTCAGATACTATTTACAAGCTGGTGGCAGTAATAACACTTTCTGGATGATGGGGTTCAACAGAATGTTTTGTACTTACTCATGCATACAATATGACTGTGACATATTATACGGCAGTTTGACAGAACACTAATAATAGAAAGACAAGATTTAGTAATTTTATGTTGAAAAACAAGCAGCAGCCCTGATATTATATACATTGCTAATAATGGATTACACATACATTTCTCCTCCCAGTGTCCAACAGGTTCATACAAAGAGTGCCCATCTTACTCCTCAGCCTTGCAAAAAATTCAGTGTCTGTAGTGCCAAAGGTCTGGATAGACTTCACAGGTTCATTTTCTGTAAGCAGCAGTGGTAAAACATTAGGTGTGTCTGTGTTTTTTATGTTGCTCAAGTAGATTTGCACATTTCATTGCATGAAACTTCCCAATGCCAGTATTTTCAAGAGCATTGAAGGAGTTTCATTACTGCACTGAAGATTTCTGCTACAATTTTTCCTGGAAAAAAACCCTATAAAAACCCAGTGAGGTAGTACTGGATCATTCTTACATCACATTTCCAGTACTCATCAAGAAGTTCCTGGCTTCAAAGACTTGGATTACTGACCCTGTCCTTGCATATGGAGGTTACACAAACCACAGTTTCAGCAATGAAGAAATGTTTGATAATGCATGCGATTTTTATTGATGCCTTGTTTATACTACTGAATTTGGTTTTGGCTTTTTCAAGATTTTACAGTGAAAAAACATCTTGTGTGTAAGATTCTAAGCTTTCATGTTTTGCCAGTCTTTTGATGTTTTCAGTCCCTGTATTCTGAACTGCTCCACTGTATTACCCACCCTAAAACAAACATGAAAAGGCATAGGCTTCTCTTGGACACACTGGCAGCCACGTACTGGTCTAATAGGCCACTCACACCAAATTTTTCGACTTTATGGTTTCCACTTTGCTTTTGCTAATGAGAATGTAGCCATGAGGCTATCTCACTCTCACTGTTTCAGTTCTAATTTCTGCTCTAAAGTCATGCTGACAAACTTCTTTTTCAACAGAAAGTATGCTTTATTGTAGGAGTAGCCTGAAGGACAGAGCTGCACAAGAGATTATTGTTACCCTAGGGGGCAAGTTGCAGGACAGCTCAGTGCAATCAGTACTTTGTGGCTTTTTCCTACACACCCTTCTCATGCTCAGAGGCTTTCACCACACAGGGCTGTCTCCAGGAGCTCCTAAACTCCCAGCAAAACACACTAGAACTCTGTATCAAGCATTCACGGCATTAAACATCCTGGTGCGAATCTGGCAGCCTTAACATATACTTTACACTTCCAAAAGCGCATCAGGGAAAGCCCAGAAAAAGAGTAGACTATATATTATTCAATACCAAACAGTCCTATAGCTGGATTAAATCTCTTTATATTGTTCTTACACCAGATATTAATAACAAACCCTAAAATCCACAAAAGCAAACCACATTTTTTCACCATTGAGGTAGATTTTCATATTTTCTGTAGCTGAGTACTCTGAAGCTGTAGATATCTTTTTACAACAGGAAAACTAGAGGCCACACAGTACTATTTATTTGCAGATGTATGAAGTCATGGTAGACAGGTCTGCTAAACAATGCTAAAAGTGGCCATTATAATTTTAGTTTTTCCTCTTTTAATAACGGTGAGATTATTCATTTTAAAAGACTGAAGTATAAAATCAACTATCTAGCTGCTCAACCATATAATTTCAACAAGTTGGTTTTTATTTTGGGGGGGGTTTTTGTCCTTGCAAAAACAGGGAGGAGAAAGACAAATAATCAGCTCCTTAAAACAGTTTGAGCAGGAACTCCTATTTGCCTTTTTTGACACCTCACTCACTTTGGGCAGGAATGAATGGGCAACACAAAGGCCAAAATTCAAGTATTAGAACTGATCACCCCTGCAAAATCAAGCTCACGGCACTTAAAAAAGAGCAATTCATTAATTGCCAAATACTTAAAATTTCACAATTAAATTATTGTGAATAAATGAATATGTGATTGTGAATAAATGAATAAATATTTTATACAGAACACATATTTATTAAGAAAAGCCAAGCGCACCATGCTCTCGGGACATCTTTTGGTCATGCTGGTACTTGCTGAGGCCATCGACAGACTTCCACTGGTTCTATCTGGGAAAAAACCCCTACACTTTGCTTGGAAGAGCGACAAAGATATATGAACAATACAAGGAGCCCAGAAAGAATACTTGAAAGAATTGCCTGGATTCCAAAAGACAGCAGGCTCTGCGTGTTCCCATCACCACAATTGAAGATTACAAGTTGATTAGAAGTTGATCACAACTGCTCCTCCGCACAGTCCTGCTGTGGGACTGATTGGTGCCCCACTGCTCCCGCCTTGCCCCAGAGGGCTGAACCACTACTCTCGAAAGGTGGGGAGGACGCCATGCACTGCCTCCTCCTCCTGCAGCACAGAGATGACATACTGGGTCTGCTGCGCACGCGAGGCTACATCTGTGGCTGTCCAAGCAGATGGAGTCCTGAGCAAGGGAATCCGCCTGGTGAAAGGCGCCAAGATGTGAGGCAACACCAGCCGGGGCCACCCACCGGAACATGGTGGAGACACCCTGCGGAGGGAGATGGGGAGCTCCACAACACCGCCGGGTGTGCATGCGTAGTGTGCGCCCAGTGCAGTGTGAGGGGGTGGCGCAGGGGCTGGGGTGGAGGGAGTTCACAGTGTAGGAAATAAATAAGGTGGTTTTATTACAAGCAGGGGTTTCCATGGGTACCTCCTGTTGAGATACCTAGAAGCCATTTTGTTTGAAGAGGTGAGGAGCCATTTTGTGGTCAAGGACTAGTGAGCTGCTTACAGTTACTGTTGCTTTCAGTTCCGCTTACACTTACTTACTGTTGCTTACAGTTACCGTGTGAAGGTGGGTCAGAAAGTATGTAAGGCAGTGAGACCAGTCTGGGCTCACTGCCAGGGGAGCATGCAGCCAGGGCAGGGAAATAACCTGGTAGGTTGGTGGAAACAACCTTGTAGGTTGGTTAAAACAACCAATGGACTGCAAGAGGAGGATTTTATTGCCTTTTAAGGAAGAGAAGAAGTGGGACTTGGCATGGGAGGAGTGAGGCAGTGGTTATATAAATCAAGGGATCTTAAAAGGGCTCGCCTCTCCCATTCAGGGTGTGCTTAGACCTGGCCACAAGTCTGGTGCACCCAGTGAGCTGATAATAAAGTTCTTTGTTTCACTTCATTTGACCATCTCTGAAATTTTAATTAGAGATATTTCTCACAGTTTGGGGGCTTGTCAGGGATTCGATGTCCACCGGTCTGGTTGGGGGATCAGTGAACCTGGAAGGCGTGGCCCACCAATTTCAGCGGTCCCGAGGCCTGAGCCCTCTCCTGGGACGGCAGCGACTGAGGACCCTAGGACGGATGGCATGAAACAAAGAAGGGGGGGGAAAGGAAACAGGATCCGGTATAAAAATAAATCCCCAGCAACCGTTAAACCTCATGCATGGGACCCAGTAAGAAATGAGAAGAGCTATCCTCGAAGTATTACCGGACGGTTGGGTCAGAGGAGTGTATGTGGCTGAGACATACCAAAAGGTGTGAAGTGAGTGCAGGGTCCTTCTAGCCGCGGTTCCATATTCCTGCAAGGGGACTGGCTGGTGAAAGGACGAAATGGTTGTTGTGGAGCAAGAGTGAGGTACTCCTCGGGGTGAAGGACCATGGGTGGTTCTGGCTTAAGAAAGAAGGTTTTTGAGTGGTTCCAGCTTAGAGATAAGGCTTTTGAGTGGTTCTGGCTTAGGAAAAAGGCTTTTGGGTGACTCCAGTAGAAGAGTAGGCTCGGGAGTGTACAGAGAGTGTGTGTGCCAAGGGAGGACCATATCCCGGAGCGCATGTGTTCATTCCTCAGGATGGGGGCCGGGAAAAGTAAAAGGTCCCCGTGAAAGAAAGGGTCAGGAAAGACCCTAGGCATTCCTCAAGAGAGCCCTTTGGGTATGATGCTGGATATGTCGGACGAGCTGGGAGAGACTCGGGATAAGGATAAGGCGGTTATGATCCAATACTGTAGGTATGAGTGGACTAAAGGTGCTATAAGATCAGACAATATTTACTGGCCCCAGTTTGATTCATTTGAAAATTGGATTTGTCAAGCATTGAATGTTCATGTGAAAAGAAAGAGACTGTAGAGGAAAGTGAATATGCTGCTTACTGGGTAGGATATATTGGGTTGTTCCTGGTCCATACAGTTAGTAGTGATCAAAGTAGTGATCAAAGTGACCAGAAAAAGAAGAAGGGTCTTGAGTGAGATCCTTTAGAAAATCCTTCAGGTAATATGATCCCAAATCCTCCCCCGTATAATCCCGGGGAGAATGAGGTGCAAAACTTGGACTCAGCACTTTCTCCAGGTCCTCCCCAGACACAGGGTAGAGCTAGGAGGAGAGAGGGTTTGGAGACAACCAGGGAACTGTATCCCCTTAAAGAAGTCCCGATGCAGGGGGCACAAGGGAGTACAGGCTATGTGAATGTCCCTCTGACGAGTACTGAAGTATGGGAATTTGGGAAGGGCATAAAGAAACTACTAGAAGATCCATTAGGTCTGGCAGAGCAATTTGACCGGTTTTTAGGACCTAATATGTACATATCGGATGAAATGCAACCTGTAATAGGGATATTATTTTCTGTGGAGGAGAGGGAAATGATCAGGGCAACAGGAATCCATATTTGGGACAGGGAACATCCCCAAGGGGTGCACGATCAAACTGGAGAGCAGAAGATGCTTGTGGCTCATCCAAATTGGAATCAGAACACAGAGGAAGGAAGACAAAATATAACAGATTACCAGAATTGTATTGTGAAGGGAATTCGGGAAGCAGCACCCTGGGTGCAGAATCACCAACTGAATTGTTGGAGAGACTGAAAAAAGATATATAGCAATATTCTGGAGTTTGGTTAGATACTCCAGTAGGGCAACAGTTGCTGAAGGCTAACTTTGTGACTCATTCATGGATAGATATTAGGAAAAAGTTAGAGAAATTAGAGGATTGGAGTGAAAAAGATCTGAATGAATTGTTAAAGGAAGCGCAGAAAGTATATGTTTGGAGAGATGAAGAGAGACAGAGACAGACTGTGGCTGATGGTAGCCACAGTTAAAGAGGTGAATAAACAGGGGGATAGACAGGTTACAGGGCAGGGATGTGCAGGGATGTCACAAAAGAGGTATGGTAATCATGAAGGCGGCAAGGGACAAGAAGTTCAAACTTTCAGGGGACCTCCTCGGGTGCTGCAGAAGTTAGGAATGAATTTGGCTTGCCCACCAAGAGGGGAAGGGAGACTGCTTTTATTGTGGGCAGAGAGGACATTTCAAGAGAGAATGCCCGAGGCAACAGAAGGACATTCGGAGTACTTGGACTAGGGGTCCTTTAGGGGTGTCAGGGGCTCTATCTCTTGGGGCTAGAAACAGAAAGGGAGCCCTTGATAAATTTGAAATTAGGACCCCAGGAGGAAGACACCACCTTTCTGGTGGATGTGGGAGCTCAACTGACTTGCATAATTCAGCCCCCCTTAGGAGTAGAAGTATCTGATCAGAAAGTTATTGCAATGGGAACTAAGGAGAAATTTGAAGTTTTTGTGGCACCCTCTGTATTGATACAAGGGAATGGGAAGACATTGAAAAGGGATTTATTAACAGTGCCCCAGGCTGGGACAGACTCATTGGGAAGAGACTTAATGGGGCTATTGGGGATAGGACTAATACTTCAGGGAAAAGAACTTAAACTTTTTGTATTAAGTGAGGGTTTAGATATAAATCCACAGGTATGGGCCGAAGATGGGAATAGGGAGAGACTAAAAATAGAACCTTTTTTGATAAAACTATATATGGAAGCTCCTGTTCGGATTAGACAGTACCCATCTCCCTAGAAGGAAGAAAAGGATTATCCCAGATTATAAGGAAATTGATTCAGGATGGGCTGTTAGAAATTTGCATGTCCCCATATAGCACTTCCAATCCTAAAAACAAAGAGAAGTGATGGGATGCATCGATTAGTCCAAGACCTTCATGAGATCCATAAGATAGTTCGGACTAGCTATTATACTCATGCAACAGTAGTATTGATTCACAATGCTTTGTATAAAGAGGTAAGGTACTCACATATGTATTAGTTAGGCGGGTTCATGTAAATTTTACTGTATATAAAACCTGTAATACATGTCCAAGTCAGGAGGATGATTTATTGCAGCCTAGGTAGTTAGAGGAAAAAAAGATAAATATGAGAAAAAGTCAAAGGGCAAGGAAATGTCACCACTTAAAACTTCTGGAGAAGCCTATGTACTTTCAGGAGTTCAGCATTAGTTTACAGAAACTAGTTTTTGTGTCATTATGCTTAGACATAGCTCTAAAACAGACAGGGTATAGTAGGGCTCTGTTTATAGCAAAACTAAATTAATGTTAACATTAATTTTTTAGCAGATTCACCTTTGGTAGCTTTGATTTGTCACTTGAAATTCTGTTTTCTACATGAAGAAGATTATCTTGAGCATTACTTCAAGCCAAACTTATGCACGCATAAAGGTCAGTACTTTGAGTAAAGTGATACTTACAATATACAAGTAGTCCATCTTGGGGAAGACGCTGATGAGATTGTTGATGACAGTCAAGCCAGTAAATCAGTGGAGATCAGTAACTCTGTGTTACTGATACAATCAGGTGTTGATTTGCAGCTCAAGGACAGCTGCCTGGAGAGAAGTTTAAGTTAAATATAACCAGTCCAGATTTTGATTATGTAAGTGAACAGTATGAAGAAAAAACTTTAAATGTTTGTGGCATTTATTATTCCTCCCTATGGATACAGGAGAGCTTGAATAGCTACGTGAGAATCATTCTACCTATAAAACACTAACTGATTATATGAAAAATGTAGTCATTTCAGGTAGAATCCCCTTGCTCGACCTGCTGCCTACAATGCTTTGGATACATCCCAAGACATGATTGGCTTTCTGGGCTGCCAGCAGACATGACTGGGCCCATGTTCAATTTTTCACCCACCAGGATGCCCTAGTCCTTCTCCACAAGGCTGCTCTGAATCCATTCATCCACTGGCCTCTATTGATACTGAGGATTGCCTGTTCCTGGGTGCAGAACCTTGTACTTGGCCTTGTTAAATTTCAGGAGGTTCATGGGTCCACCCCTCTAGCCTGTCAAGCTTTCTCTGAATAGAATCCCTTCCCTCAAGCCTTTCAGCTTTGTAGTATCTGCAAACTTGCCAAAACAATCAGATGCCATGAGAAAATGGCGATCAAAGTGCTTTTCATATCGTAAATATGGATTAGGGGTGTTAGTCACACATCCCACGGTTCTCTCCTTACTGAAAAACTTGTAAGATGGTAAAAATAATCATTGGAACAATTTACAAAGGGAGGGAGATGCT